TATTAGATCCAGGATTGCACAGTGTCAATAAATCAGAGATCTGGTGGGCTATCAAGCAGAGAACTCTCCCAACTGCTTTCAAGCTCTACACAGGTTCCTCTCATATCCTTTCCTTTTCACAGTACTGTACTTTGTAGTTTGGTAGTAGTAAATTTTTAGTTTTGTGACTTTTATATAAGCTGACCATTTGTTTAAAGAGATTTAATACAGAAGTACATTTTGTTTAGGTAGTCCAGTCCAATGGCCTAACCATTGCCTGATAAAGAATTTGGCCATAAGGAATTGGAGAATAGTATATTATATTTAACTTGTTAGTTAAGATATCAACTTCATTTTGGAATTCTGAAAGGACAAAGTCATATAATGTTTGAAACTTCACTCAAACTTATTGTCCTGGTAGGTATAACATATCTAGAATCCTATTTAATTTTGGAATTGGAAAATAGGATATTATATTTAACTTGTTAGTTAAGATATCAATTTCATTTTGGAATAAGGAGTCATATAATGTTTGAAACTTCACTTGAACTTATTGTCCTGGTAGGGATAAATGTATCTAGAATTCTAGATGCAAAGTCTTATGAGCATGGCTTAGATAAATAACTTATGCGAGTATGGTACTCAAAAAAAACTTATGCGAGTATGTCTTATATAAATAACTGTAAAACATTGTTTGGGATGGATTGTGGGATGCTCGAGAAACCCTTCAAAACTATTCCAGTGTAAAACACGCATTTTTTGGGATTAATTGACGGCTGTGGGGTTTGAACCCACGCCCTTTCGGACCAGAGCCTAAATCTGACGCCTTAGACCACTCGGCCAAACCGTCACTCATTTGCTATTTGCCTGGTTAATATTGGGTATCATGTGGATGGCTCAGGCATTTCACAACCAACTTTAAAAATTTACTGAGGTTTGCTCACCTACTTCTGGGGTATTTTTTTTGCATTTGATTATCACTTAGCTAATAAGATAATCTCTTTTAAGATATGGTATGGACTGTCAGTGCCAATCATGGGATTAATTGATGGCTGTGGGGATTTGAACCCACACCCTTTTGGACCAAAGCCTAAATCTGGCGCCTTAGACCACTCGGCCAAACCGTCACTCATTTGCTATTTGCCTGGTTAATAATATTGGGTATCATGTGGATGGCTCAGGCATTTCACAACCAACTTTAAAAATTTACTGAGGTTTGCTCACCTACTTCTGCGGAATTTTTTTTGCATTTGATTATCACTTAGCTAATAAGATAATCTCTTTTAAGATATGGTATGGACTGTCAGTGCCAATCATGAGTGATAAATAGGAGATGGTATGGACTGTCAGTGCCAATCATGAGTTTTATTTATGAGTGGCTTAGATAAATAACTTATGCTCGAGAAACCCTTCAAAACAATATAGGATGGATTGACGGCTGTGGGATTTGAACCCACGCCCTTTCGGACCAGAGCCTAAATCTGGCGCCTTAGACCACTCGGCCAAACCGTCACTTATTAACTATTTGCTTGGTTAATATAAGGTATAATGTGGATGACTAGGCATTTCACAACCAAGCCCATCTACTACTGCGAAGTGCTCAATTCCCACCATAAACTAAATTAAGTGTCAAATAGGTCTATTTACCAGCTAAATTTGTTCAATTGACTTTTTTTACAGGTTATCAACAGGTTGCCTATTTAATTATTAAAATAAATAAATAAATAAAATAAAACAATTAAAAAATTAAAAATTAAAAAAAAAAAAAGAATAACAGCCCGGTCAGTCGGTGGCTGTTCTTTTTTTTTTTTTTTAATTTTTTTATTTTATTTTATTTATTTATTTTAATAATTAAATATGCAACCTGTTGGTAACCTGTAAAAAAGGACAATTAGTAGATGGGCCTATTTGACACTTGTGCCATAAAAATATGATGCCAGATGGGTATCGAGGTTTGTTCAACTACTTGTGGGGAAACTAAGATAATCTCTTTTAAGATATGGTATGGATTGTCAGTGCCAATCATGAGTGGCTGCTAGAAGAGGTCGTAGCCCCTCCCCTTGATCTAAGGGGCCACTGTTTGGAATGGGTTGATGGCTGTAGGATTTGAACCCACGCCCTTTTAAACCAGAGCCTAAATCTGACGTCTTAGACCACTCAGCCAAACCACCACTTATTTATTTTATACCTGGTTAATATAAGGTATCATGTGGATGGCTCAAGCATATCACACAAATTTGACTCGCCCTAATCCGGTTTATCAGATAATGTGAACATGCAATGATGGAGTTTCATTAGACTCGGGGGAAAGCAAATCTGTGTCTAGGGAAGTACATGTGAAGTTGCAGGAATTTCATTTACTGTTCTGTGTTTATAAGCTACGAACTGCACCTGTATCAACCATATCCTATATAGTAAAAGAAAAAGACAGATCAACCATATCCTATCACCTACTTGTGGGGCAATTGTTTTGCATTTAATTATCACTTACCTAATATCACATTTGTTATTCCTTATTAAACATCAGAGTAGGATGAATAATCTAATCCTTAATATAAAAACCCTGCCAAACTTAGAGTGGGAAGTTGAATGTTGTCTCATTGTTACAATTTCATACTCAATTGTTTGGTATGGGTTTGGTGCTATTATACAAAATGCCACATTCTGTACATTTAAAACATGAAAAATTTAGACACCTGTAGCCGGCTGAGTTGTAGAAAAACTCCTAACTATTTTGTTTTAATTAATATAAAAAGATTGAGAGTATAAATTAAGAGGATTAATTGATGAGTAGTTCCATTTCCATATTCAGGTTCAGCTTGGACAGTTCTGTCAAGATCCTTTGCGGAGTACTGTGTTGTAGGCTGGGACAACTTGCCGAGAAGGCTTCTTCTCTACTACACCAATTTCGTGTCATCTCCCGAGGGCTATTTCCAAACTGTTGCATGCAATTCTGAGGACTACAAGAACACGACAGTGAATCACGACCTTCACTACATCACTTGGGACATCCCTCCAAAGCAACACCCCAGGTCCCTCGGACTAAAAGATTACAGAAGAATGATACAAAGCAACCGGCCATTTGCCAGGAAGTTCAAGAAAAATGATCCCGTCCTTAACAAAATAGACCGCGAACTTCTCAAGAGGCGCAATGGACAGTTTTCTTTGGGGGGATGGTGTTCCAAGGGAGATAACAAGCACCAAACATGCTCGGGTTTGCAGATTGAGAAATACGGTGTTGTGCAGCATGGAACTGGTGCAAGAAGAATGAAAACTTTGCTAACTAAACTTGTTTCAGCTCAGAATTCCACCAAGCGCCGATGTAGATAATTTTCACATTAAATGACTGTATACGGAGTAGTTATTAGGAACAATTTATCTATGGCCAAGTGGTTTGTACCCAAACATTCTCGGAAATAAGGTTTGTGAACAAAAATAAACCTTGGTAGTTAAAGGTAGCTTTCATATTGGATTTCTTGTGACAAAAATAAGATTATTTATTTTTATTTTTAATTTTTTTTAGATACATAAGTGAAATTTTATATGTAATAATAATAATGATTATAGATGAAGTTGTGTTTTTATATTTAGAAAATTTTGGAAAACAATTTTTTTTTCCAAATCCTTGTAACCTTGTTGGGTTGAATAAATAGAAAAACAAAAATTAATTTCAGATAAAAAAGTGAAAACAATGCTAAACAACACATTTTTTGTTTTGTTTTGTTTTGTTTTTTTTTTCAAAACAAATAATAGTAATACATTATTTTTTCATTAGTTTATTTGGTTCGTGAAAAAGAATATTGAGAAATATAATTTAAATTTTATAAAAAAAATTATTGAGAATATTAATTTATATTGTTTGGTTCATAAGAATATTAATTTAAAGAATAATGCGTATCAAGATTAATATACAATTACAATATAATAATTATAATTAATGAATATGTATAATGATACTTTTGTCGTTCCTATCAACTTCGAAAAATAAAATATCAAAGGAAAGTTGTGCAACTTATTTTTTCATAGACCAAATAACATAAAAAACTACTTTTTCTCTCAAGTTCTAAGAATTCTAATTCCAACAAATATATTTTCCAGCCAACCATATACACCATAAATCCCGCGATGCTAATTTAATTAGCTCAATTAATTACATTTAAGTCTCACTTCATTAACCGTTCAACTCGAAATATATTTATCTATTTCAACGACTTTTAGGCATGTGTTTAAGATTAATCTAGCCTTGGATATAAATATAGCAAAAATAAAAGGTGTGGAGTCTCATTACAAGATAATAATATTTGTTATATACTTTCTCAAACATTTTCAGTTTAAAGAAGTTTCTTGTTGGAATTTGAACTTATAACCACCCATTTAAAATGGATGAATGGTAATCAAGATGCCAAGGCACAACAACAACAACAATGTCCAAATTGGCGACTAACATAACCTAAAAATGCAATTAGGTTACTAGACATCTCAAATGTATGTAATTTCACTGGATAACAGGTTACCATCCATTTTATCAGGTTGATTGCTTACGTGGATGATGAGTTGGCATTTTAATAATTTTTAATAATAAACTTAAAAAAAAAAAAAAAAAAAAACCGTCAGGATGGCTGCTGGTCATCCATTCCCCCTCCTCCTTCGTCTCTGCGCGGAGATGAAGGCGGGGGAAGGGGGGTGGTGTGAGGCGAAGGACCTGTCTCACGCCACCCCCATTCCCCCTTCCTTTGTCTCCAACCGAAGACGAAGGAGGAGGGGGTGGGGACTCAACGTTCTTTTCTTTATTTTATTTTTTAAAAAATTTTAAAATTTTTATTTTTATTTTTATTTTTAAAGTTGATTATTAAAAATTATTATAAATGTCAACTCATCCTTCACGTTAGCAAATATGGTAACCTACTATAAGATGAAATGACATACGAGATGTTTAGTGATTTAATTGTATTTTTTCTATGGTCTAATTACATTTTTATGTTAGGTGGTCAATTTGGATTTTATTTAAAAATAAAAAATAAAAAATTACCGAGCCGTTGCTTACGTTAGCTCTTGCGTGCTCCATGCCTCCATCCCGATTGCTCCCAACTCCCAAGTAAAGTACAATAGACGGATTGAAACAAGTAGAGTTGTTTCTCTCAGCAATTTCAGAGTCTCGCCGAAGGTAGATCGGCTCTCTCATTACGTGTATCTCAAATATCACCATAGTTTATGAGACTCCAAGGAGCTTAAGGTTTGATTTGTCCCTTATATTCTCTAAATTTCATCGCTAGATTTTTGTTTGGCATTGTGAATTGTGAGCTGAACTCCTAGCTTGATGTTTCTCTTACATTCCTTACCTCTAAATATGTGTTTTTTTAATCAAATTGTTGATCTGTTGTTTGATTGCTAGAATTCATGAAAAAACATTTCTAGCGGTTAAAATATCACTGAATATTTTATGTTTTCTACCATACGTGGCTTATTATATTATTGATCCGTTGTTTGATTCGCTAGAGTAGATGAGCGAATTTCGAATGGTTTAAAATGGATTTCTTCTTCGATCCTGCTGTAGGGTGTTTATTAATTGAAATATATCCTCTTTCAAGAAGAAATAATGGGAGGGCAGAGCAGTTATGTGCCGCCGCCATACATTCCGTTGAGCCAGTCCAATAGAGAGCCCGAAAGCATTCCATATAAGGAAGATGCCCCTTTGCAACCACAACACGGAAATGATGGCGGGGAACAGTGGTCTTCTGGAATCTGCGCTTGTTTTGATGATCCGCAGAGCTGTACGCTACTTTCTGCCCTGAGATCTTGATTTATCAGAAGAAAAAAGTGAATAAAAGGTGCAATTTTAGTGATTAACTAGTATGACAGCAGTGTTTTATTCTCTACTTGTGTAAGCTGGCTGGAGCAATTCAAGTTGGATCCTGTTGATCCACACTGATCATTGTTATGGACTTATTATGGCTGAAGAATAATAAAATTGCGAGTCCTAAAACATATCAGAAACCAACAATACGGTGCATGTAATTGCTATTATTAGGAGCCTAGGAGGTAGAATTGCTAAATATATGAAGAAATGTGTCAAGAGATTTCTAAAGCTCACTTCTAAAACACATGGGAGTTCTGGAGTTGCACTGAGGGTGTGATTAGTTTTTTTGGGTTAAAGTAGCCTGATCACTTATGTAACCTCTGGAAATGCACACAATAAGAAACTAAATATGGGTTGAGTTTTTTTTTTTTTCCTCATGATGAAGGCTTTTTTTGTAAAACCAAATAACTATTGCCATCTAACAATGTTACCTCTCTTGACCTTAAATCTGTAGAAATTTTATGTGTTTCTCCTTCTTCAGAAATGGGATTTTTGTTGCTTCAGAGCTATTTTCAGTTTAAGAGAATATTTCATTCAAATGCATAATCCACTCCATAGAAATAGGTTTTGGTTTCCTTTTTGCTAGGCTATGCCGCTATGGTGCCTAATGGCTGGTATTGAGATCTTAGCTCATGTTTCCATTCAAAAAGGAAGTGTTTGTACTTTGTAGAAATTAGAACAAAGGAGTGTATAAAACTTCATCAGACTCCGTGTAGCTAGAAGCATTCCTTCTCTTTTCTGTTTTGTGCTTTTAGGTGATGTCTTATGTGATAGTTAATGGTCAAAACTAATTTTGATGGCCTAGAACTTTTTAGTGATTGCAAACTTTTGTACTCAGGTATCATTGGTCTTCTTTGCCCTTGCTATCTTTTTGGGAAAAATGCGGAGTTCTTGGGCTCTGGAACCTTCGCAGGTTCATGCGTGACCCACTTCATTTTATGGAGTCTTGTGAATACATTTTGCTGCATGCTAACCGATGGAATTCTTCTGGGTTTACCTGGATGCTTTGTTGCATGTTACGCTTGTGGCTATCGTAGAACATTGCGATCAAAGTACAATCTACAGGTATGTCATTTCCATTGCATTTCCATATTTGCACAATGTGTTAAAATCTGGTCTGATGGTCTGATTGTATTGTTGAAAAATTTCTCTCCAACAGTGGTATGCTTTTTTGTTAATATGTTGATGGATGAAAATGTGGTTTATCATTGTCCTCGTTTCTTACTAATTACTACAGCATGAACATCTTCATTTAATTTAATTTTTTTTTAAATTTTAAATGCTTTGCTTCTTTTTTTTTTTCCCAACCTTTTTGAAATATATTGCTCTAAACACTTTCAAAAGGTACCATTAGTTGGTGTATTAACCTGAGACTCTGATTATGGGCTTATTGCTTGAGTGTTGGGTATCTGTAGCATATAATAAAGCATCATTTCTCTATAAGAGGCAATGCCAGTCCTTAAGAAATGTTAGTGCGGGCAAGTTTGAACCCAAGTTTCTCTGTCTCTAGTTTTAAAGTGTGTAAAAGAACTCTTTGAAAAGGCTATCCTTTTCCTCCTCGAACCTATAATAATGTTGAAGCATCCCAAATGGACTTGCAATTCCACTCAAATCTCAGAAGCACTTAGTCAATTTGTTTCTCTTTTCATTTTTGTTTCTCAAAGATCTTTTCACATCTTGATATTTGTAAATCATATGAGCCATATAGGTCATCTTTTGCAATTTATTTGAAGAGAGAATACAATGCATATACCCTTCCTTTGTCTTGACATGGCAAAGACGTAGGTGCTTGGTAGGGGTATTCAAAGATTTTCCCCACTGATTTAATTTGCTGTTTTCTTGAATTCCTGTGCAGGAAGCACCATGCGGGGACTTCGTGACACATTTTTTCTGCCACATGTGTGCGATGTGCCAGGAATACAGAGAGCTTCGTGAGAGGTCTGGAGACTCAAACTCCCCCAACCTAAACCAAACAGAGGTTAGAGCCCCTCAAATTCAAACAATGGAATTAGCTTCTGAAAACAAATGAGTAGATTCCAAATTTCTTGGTGTCTTTAGCCATTTGTCACCAAGACAGATTTTCTTTCCTCCTGCGTTTTCCATTGGTTTCTTTGTCACTCGCTTGTACGTTGTTATTGGAGTTTCTGCAACTGTTACTGTATGCGTTTTATTCCAATTGATATAAATAAAATGAATCTTGGCTCATATAGTCGTGTGAGTAGTCTTGAGTGAACATACTTCACAGGGTTTATGAACATTTACATTTAATTTACAAAGAAATAAGCGGTACTGCCGCCGCGCCGGACTAGCTTAGTTGATTCGATCGATTACCTATAATGTCTTGTTCTAGTGGCAGACTGGCAATGATTCATATGCAAATTTAAGAAACATCAAGGTGCACGTTGCAATTTAAAATATTTACTTTTCTTTTTTAAATTAATGCTGAATGCTTCTGTTTAGTGTTTAAGGAGGCATTGGCAACAATTTGGGAACTTGGTTTTAGTGAATAGTGAGAAGATACAAAAGAATAAATAGAATAGAATCTTGCGGGGCCGAGGTGGCAACAAAAAGCCACCTTTCTCTAAAAGTTGATCCCACTCTTCATAGTCATAATAAAAAGATGACATTTTTATTCAGATGCAGATCGGATCCTCCTTTCCCACTATCATTATTATATTGTCAAAATCACTAAGGATGTAATGGAGGAGAAATTTATGTGTTAGAATCTTAAATTGGACTGTCTCAATTTATCTCCGGATAAATATAAAGATGAGTTCACGGGGTTTAAAATATAACTCGGCAAAATTGAAAAATGTGAATTATAAAATATAATTCATTAAAGACTAGCTATTGTTGGAGGGAAATGGGAATACTAAACTTTAATAATTCTAGTGTTTTTTTTTTTCTTTCCTTTTTTGAAGCATACTGATTATTATAAAATAAGTTTGTGAATATTCCCTAAATAGTAAATAGGGGCATACCAATGTTAAAGCGTAGCATAAGTTTGAAAAATATTTAAATTAAAATTTATGTTGTCCATCATAAACTATTATTGCTAAAAAACATTAAGGAACTATTTGGTTCAATGAATGCTTTTATATAATGTATTTTTTCAAAATTTTACATAATCTAAAAAATTTAGGAAAATAAGATTTTCATTAAAAAAAAAAAAAAAAAAAAAAAAAAAAAAAAAACTAAAAAACGTCAAACCTTGTAAATTGTAATATAGTGGCATGAAGTGGCTCTTTCAAATTGGATGTCATGAGTTTGAGCAATTGAGTATACTATGTACTAAGGGAATAAATATATGTTATTGTATCTTCAAAAAAAAAAATGTTATTGTAAAAAATAAAATACATTTGGCAAAAGTTTCACACTTTGTATCTTCTAAGGAACTAAAATTAATTATGGATCCGACAAACACAGCTCATCAGATATAAATTGTGTTTTTAGCATTGCTAATTAAATGAATACTATTGACTAATAGTATTCAAAAAAGCATTGCTAATTAAATAATAATCATCATCGTACTAATTTATACTCCGTATTTGTTTTGCTAAGTCATAATTCTCTTAAATGATTTTGATTCAATATCTACATGGAATGGTTATCATTAATTGTCGCGTACGTGCCCTTAACGAGTACTAATTTATAAATTGATCCCACAAGATTTATTACTTTATTTACAAGATTTAGACAAAAAGTTTATTTTTTAAAAAAATATTGCCTTGCGGTCTTCATAATATGGAAGAAGGCAACAAGCGTTTTGTCTTTGTTTTCTTTTGAAAGAAAATGACATTTTAATCATGATTAGTATTTTGATGGAAAAAAAAAAGTTACAAGTTAAAATATAAAAAGAACATGGAGAAGACGATATAAATATATGATAATAATAACGGATCACGATTAAAATTCTTAAAATGTATCAATAATACATGTAACCATCGAATATACAAACACTTATTAAAACTAATAATTAATCAATATAACCAATAACTTTATGGTCCAATGGTTCTAAGTTGCTCCCCTATGTAGGAGGTGGTGAGTTCGAGCATATAGTAGCTCACTAGCTTGTATATGTGGGTAACCACTTCTATTATAATAATATAAATAATTAATCAATACATTATAAAAATAACTATAAAATTGCGATTAATAAAATATTAATAGAATGCTTTCATTAGGATTAAAATTGATAGTACGGGTTGTGGGGGGTGTAGGCGAATAATATAATTAAATGAATACATTATAAAATAACAATAAAATTGCGATTAATAAAATATTAATAGAATGCTTTCATTAGGATTAAAATTGATAGTACGGGTTGTGGGGGGTGTAGGCGAATAATATAATTAAATGAAAGTGGTGGAAGCAAAATTTTCTAGAGAGAATAGAATGTCGGTCTGCTTTAATGCTTCGAAATCCAATATTTTCATTTTTATTTTTATATACTTAAAAAAAAAAATTAAAAAAAACGAATTAACTCAGTTACTCACTCAATTAGCTCGCCCCCAGTTTAACAGAGCAGAGAATGGTTTCACTTTCTGGGCTTTTTGTTGTGTTCTGAGGGAATGCTGGAGCTCCACTGATATCCATGCAAATTCCAACCGCCGCTGCCATTCTCTTACACAATAAGGTTCTTCGCGTTCTTCTGCTAAATGTACCTCTCGTTCTATTTCTCTATGTATATACACATATTGATTTGTTTTTGCTTCAATATATGAATTTATGTTTCTCGATGATTGCGAGCGTATAGGTTTGTTAAGGAATGAATGCCTCGTTTGTGTTGGGCGTAGAGCTCTGAGTTTTGAGCTTTGCGCTTTGCTCATTGAAGTGATTGGAGTTTGAAGGGGTTTTGGGTTAATTGATTTTAGATAGATTTGATTTAGGGGGTTGGGGGTTGGGGGGTGGGGAGAAGATAGGTATGGGATCTCAGGGTGACGGTGGTGGGAGTGGTGGAGCCCACACTCATACTCAAGACTCCCAATCGAGTGGATTGGTTAGGCAGGGCTCACTCTACAGCCTCACTCTTGATGAGGTTGAGCATCAATTAGGGCATTTGGGGAAGCCTCTTAGCAGCATGAATCTTGATGAGCTTCTCAAGACTGTATGGACTGCTGAGGCCAGTCAAGGGGAGGGGGGAACTGATTTTGGAGTGGCCCAGCCCGGTTCTGGGGCCTCTCTGTGCCATGACTCCAGCCTCCCGCTATCTGGGGATCTTAGCAAGAAGACTGTTGATGAGGTGTGGCAGGATATTCAGCAGGGGCAGAAGAGGAGTGACCTTGATAGGAAAGCTACTCTGGGTGAGATGACGCTGGAGGACTTCTTGGTTAAGGCTGGGATAGTAGCTGAGTCATCACCGGGAAAGAAAGATTTGGCAGATTCGATGGTGTTGCTAGAGCAGAATGCGGTACAGCAGCCAACTCAATGGACGCATTATCAGATCCCAACAATTCATCAGTCACAGCAGCAGCCACCACCTCCACAGCAACAACTGCCAAATATGCTGCCTGTTTTTGTGACAGGCCAGCCTCTACCTGTTGTACCAAACCCAATCATGGATACAAGTTATCCCGACACACAGGTGGCCATGTCTCCAACTATGATGGGAACACTATCGGACACACAAGCACCTGGAAGAAAGCGAACTGCCCCAGACACTGTGGTTGAGAAAAGTGCTGAAAGGAGGCAGAAAAGGATGATTAAAAACAGGGAGTCTGCAGCTCGGTCACGAGCAAGGAAGCAGGTGAGTTTTAAATGTCTTGAGGAAGCAGCCCATTTCAACTTGTCTTAAACCCAGAAGAAGACAAAGGGAGAGAGAAATCCTGATTAAATTTCTTATGTTGCCATAAAATATTATTCCATTGATGTGACAGGCTTACACCCATGAGCTGGAGAACAAGGTTTCTCTTTTAGAAGAAGAGAATGAAAGGCTTAAAAAACAGAAGGTATGCTTCTGCACTGCAACTTCAGTCATAAATGCATGGTACCAGTGAGTTCGATGCATGCCTGAATTTATTGTTTTGTGTTACAAGTACTGATTTTAAATGCCTTTGCCTGCATTGTTGTCTTTCAGTCATAGACAATATCCAGATGCAAATACTTGGCTTATCATATAGGTGGATAGCCCTTTAATATTTCAAAAGAAAATCACTTAACATGAAGCAGTTGGCTGAAACACAAGGTCATAATGTCCTACAAAGTATAAGTTATTAATGTATAGAAAACTTGTTCCTTGTACTTAGGCAGAGACATGGAAACATGACTCTTCTTGTACTGTTGTGTAACACTAACAGGACACATTCATTCTGCATACTGAAAATCTAAAATGGAAACAAATAGGATCGGTTATTAAAAAGTTACTCACTCTGTCCCAAGATATGCACATATCTTATTGGTGTTCCACAACACTACCCCAAAATTGAATTGTAATCGAATCCTTTCAGAGATTGATTGGAAAGAGACAATTGAAGAAAATTTTAGTGAAGATCCTTAACATTAGAGATAGCAGTGGGAGTGGGGATGAGTGGATGACACACTCAAGGGTGGTTGGCCAAGGGCCATGGTGGTAATCCTCGTCGATAATGAAGTGAGGCTCATCCTTGCCCTTTATGTCTCAAGCATCGTGAGAGGCACTAGAAATGAAGGATTGGATGGAGTAAATTCCAAAGAAGCTGAGGAGATAGATGGAGGCAATGAGGAAAACAATAGCGGTGAGTTCAGAGAGAGTGGCGGAGTGGAGAGGGGTAGAATTGTGGATATTGTTGTGCTAGTGGTGGAGGAAGTAGTTGGCGACGGAGAAGATGGTGAATAAATTGGTGTTAGTCAAGTAGAGAGTAAGCAGGAGAGCATCAATGGCCTTAAAGGGTAAGAGGCGAAGACGAGGTGGAGCGAGAATTATAGTTGAGTGAAGGCTAAGAACTCCATGTTGAAAGACATTGTTTTAGTAGAAGCCTCATGTATGATAGGCTTGAATTTGGGCAACTTAAGACAAGTAAATTGAGTTTGAGCCTTATAAAGCTGCTGATAGCCAACACACTGATACAAATGAAGTTTACAATCCCATTAACAACACTCCATATTTAGGCTAATTCATAATCTACTTGTTAGAATGTTAGTATATATATCATTTGACAGTGAAAGGAGCAATATGAAAGAATCCAAAATTCCATCCAAACAAACTAAAAATCGTAACCCATGAAGCAAATAATAAAACAATACATCTACTAGAAATCAAGAAAGTGATCATTGATAGGTAACAAGTCCATTCTTCATATCTGATACTATTTTAATCTAGCTCATATCAACAGAGTAATCAAGTACAGAGTAATAAATAAATAACTAAACACTTGAAAGCAATATTATTAGAATTAGCCGTAGGATGGAGAAACTATAGCCATATTCCATCTTGAATTTGATCCTAGAATATACAAAAGCTTAGCACATACATTACATGCAAAGGACACTTTTGGCTTTCTTTTTGGGTTAATATATGAAGTATATATCACAATGTTCTAATCAAGCAAATGCTATATTCAAATTAGAATGATAGAGAAATTGCAGATATTCATGCCTGACTTCTGAAGAATGCTAAGATAATCAGAATCGAGGTGATTGGTTTGAGATGATATAATAATTACTGAGAAGAGATCTTGAGGTTGAGATTAAGGCAGACAAGGCAGTGCTATTCTAGGGATCTGATTTTCGAGAGCCTTGGGCTAACACATGAGATTTAGTGATTCATAGCTCTTTCTCTGCCTGTATAATCACAAATTACCAATTCAAAATTTGCATTTCTCAATTTCTTGTGAGGGGTTCTAAGACTTCTACTGAGAAAAATCTGTAAATGCAAGAGACCTGAAGGAGAGAGGTGTTGGTTTTTGGTCTGTTCCAGTCTTTTGTGAAACCCCGACAGAAGCGCTTCTACCAAGTTTCTGCAAAGTTGGGTACTTCCCTCCAGTGTAATAAAGAGCTTTCAATTGAGGGTAACGAGAGAAGCACTAAAGCCTGAAGGAGAGGGTGAAACTCTGGGGTGGAGGGGACAGGGGCAGAAGGTCTGAATTTTTTATTTTTTATTTTTTTGCTTAAAATATATCCACAAAACAACATCATTTTGGGGATATATTTAAAAAAAATATAAAAAAAAATTCTGTGGGGGCCCCACCACCCCCACATCTCTGCCCCTGGACAAAGATTGGCTGCTGCCAAAGCCTTTTGTTGATGGTGGTGGTGGTGGTCTAAAACAGGTTTGGGAGATCTTCGACGGATGTCCATGTGAGAATATCCTGACTAAGAGGGGACAAAAGATTTTGATCGAGAGAGAATGGAAGGAGTAGAAGGAAAGTATCAATTGGTCAAACCTTCAGCTGAATTTACTTCTTTGACCTTTCATTTGATGGCAATTCCACAGAATCAGTGGAGGACTAAATTGGGTAAGTTTTGCATAGTCAAGGATGTAATTTGGTAAATTGGTAAACCATGACTAGTTTGGGAATTATGGCATTGTCAAGGGACCATTTTGAGAATTAACTCTATTAAAATATAGGACTTGATATGGCAAGCACATAGAAAGATTTGGCATTCTAATATATTTTTGAGGATAAAAAAGTTGCTTTCATTCATGCCTGTCTACATGTTTGTTTCCTGTTTTCCTTCCCCTTTCTGTTTCCTCAAGTAATTAAACAACTTCTTTAGCCTATCATAGTATCATTTAAAGGTTTATCATTCTAGTTTTGTCCACTTTCTGTTACATATTCTGTCTGAAAAGTGAGAAACGGCACAAGTTGTTCTTGCTTCTAAAACTATTTCTGAATTTACTAGGATATTGACAGATGACATTCAGAAACAGCTCTTTTTATTGTTTTAATGTGTGGAACTGTGTGTTGGGCTATGAATCTCAGTTGAGGCAAATGTGCTACTGTGAAACGTTTCCATTGGAAAGAACTTCTTCTGTTACCTTCGTGTACATATATGCATATATAAACATAGATGTCGACCTCCGTATTGGCTTGCAAGAAAACTTGATGGTCAAGTTGGGACTGAATTAAATGGAACATTAATTCATCTACTCTTTGGAGTTCAACCACAAGTATGCTCTTGCGCTAGAAACATCTTTCTGAAAGCAACCCCAACATGCTTACATGATATGATATGAATGTCTGCTGTAATTGCACAATTTGGAACTGGCTGCTATATTCTTCATATGATGTTATTCAATTACTTCACTCTGATCCTCATGATTTTTCACTGCTACATTCACTAATGTCTTGATTATAATATGGTTTATTTTGCAGGAGAAGGAGAAGGTGCTGCCTTATGTTCCACCTCCAGAGCCCAAATATCAGCTGCGCAGAACAAGCTCAGCCCCTTTCTGACAACTGGATTCGTGAATGATAACAGTATAGATGCATAGAATTCTTGTGTCACTAAAACAACTTTCATAAAGTAGTGTTCCTCCTCCTTACACCCCTTGTACCTGCCTGGACAACTGCTGTGAGATTTGCGTTGGATCGTCCTCTGGAGCCTGCCTTCGTTGGTTTCACCTTTGGCTTTCCCTGCCTTTCTCTTGATTAGTTTCTTTCTTGTATGCACATTATATAGTTTAAAACTTAAAGATCATAGTTTTGCTAGCTCTTTTCTTCTTATTGCAAATGCTTTGTAGGATCAAATTCCTCCCTCCTGTATAACATACTGCTTATTACCTTTGTAGTAGAACTTTGCCATATATGAAAGTTTTGGAAGCTATTTTGACAAGTTTACCCTTTTTTGTTTTTGGTTAAATATGGTTTACATCAAGTGTTTACTGCAGGGACTGAGTATTTCTGTATTTGCTTTGGCAAGCTGTTTATCATCCTCTCCTTGGGGATATTAAAATTCAAATTTATATTAAAATATAAAATAATTATTTTACATGGAAATTAGAATATACCCAAAAAAATTAAATAAATAAAAAAAAACACAGCCCCAGAGACATTGAGGATGGTTTACTAATTACTATATGATAATGTACCATAAATTCTAAGATAGAATGAAGTATGGTTGTACCCAGAACTCAAAATGTAAAGTATCAGCACTTGATAGTGTCTTCTGGCAGTTGGAGAAAAGGCCTGAAGGTCAAAATTAAGCCTACTACTTCAACAACATTCAACATGAAGAAAACAATCTGATCACCTGCATAAACAACACAGTATTTTGCAATCTCTCAGTAAATACAAGGTTTTTAAGGTGGAAACAAGTTATTTACAAAAAAAAAAAAAAAAAAAAAAAAAACAATGTTTTTGCCTTTGGACAACCCAACCAAGGTTGTCAGACTTGGTTTGATAAGCGCAAGATTACAAGTTCGACTCTTCTCAGTGAGAGCGGCCTATTAGCTTTTCCCCTCAGATAGTGGCTGCAGGTTTGCCTTGTTACTAGACTATTAAATACGCGAAAGCAATATTAGTGAAACACTCTACCTGGCAAAAAACTTGCATCCTGGCGCGCTTGAGCCCAAGAAAATCTAAAAGCATTAAAGACCACAACTTACTCACAATGAATAGTAATATGCAGAAGAAAACGGAAAAGGAAGAAACAGAACTACTCACATTGCACCTCCAGCTGCAGGGCCAATGGCTTTGAAAAGAGACGTTGCAGACATAGAAATGCCGTTAGCTGCACCTCTTTGTTCCTGGGACTGGAATTCGCCTTCTTTATTAAATCCTACTTTAGAGAAAGAAGAAGAAAAATACACATCTTGGCGAGTAAGAGCTTACCACAGCCCTATTCTGTATAAGGAATAATCCCGTCGTAATGGATACCTGCTCATAGATGTAGAGTAAGGGACAATTTATTGAGTTCTCAGATTCTAAAACACATCAAAAGTTTGTCCTCGAGAACAAGACATTACATGAAAGAGAATAGGTAACTGAACGTTTTAAGGTCTTGGAAAACTTACAGACAACACATTCTTTAACAAGGAAGCACAATTAAGCACAATGAAGAGGCAGAGACCCGATAACAGAGCAATGTAGGTGTAACTGAACAGCAAAGGTATGCTTAATACCTGCAAATGAAAGCAATGCAGCAAAGAAATCCGGTAACTAATTGAAACGAAAAAGAGATTCAATATCTCACTTCAATATAATCAGAGACTTACTGCTCCAATGCGAGAAACCATGATTGTTCCCATAGTTCTCTCCACTAATGGGTATAGGAATAGTTGAAAAAGCAACAGACCCATGCCTGGTAGATCAAGAGAAACAAAAAAAAGGGTATTTACTAACAAAGATTTGGGTTTCGGAAAAAAAAAAAAAAAAAAAACGATTTTTGAGCTTCATCTTTATACCAGTGACGGAAAGAACTTCACCAACATCTGAAGTTGTATACTCTAACCCCCCATTCTTTATAGGACTAACAGCCCACAAGGAGAATATCTGAGGAAATAACGAGTCAAAGCCAATGCATAAGTAGCCAAAAGGGGAACAATATACTACTGAGTTGAGCAATTAATACCAAGACACGATAACTTTATGGGGTTGGCCATGTCCCATTTACGGTGTGAATAGAAGAAAGATTAAAGAATAGAGAGCTTTCGTATGAATTACCTCTGTGTAGGCTATATCGTGAAGTTGAAAGATGCAGTAGACCATAATCGAAGACATTAAAGGCCAATTTTTTAATAGGCTCTTTTGAGATTGGGAAACTTTGTTATTCCGAGGTACATTAGACTCATCTACCACGCCCTCTATAGCATAATGAGAATCACTTTGTTCCACGTCTTTTGAACTATGGTTGTGCAGTGTTTCCTGCAACGGTATAGAATTTGTCAGCAGACAAAATCCCGGGTTTCATATTATGTGTAAGAACAACAGAACAAATAATTTAGTTTATACGATAAAATACCGGAAGCCAACAAGTGAAGACCAATACAACCAACGCTAGAAGTGAGATCACAAGACAAGGTAAGAAATAGGGGAATCTGAAAAATCAAAAGTGATTGTAGAATTGTTAGGTATCATCTAGACTAGAATCTCGTCTCCCCCGTTTAAACCCTTATGTGAAAGTTGTACACCCAAGAAGATATCGCTAACCTTCCAAAAAGGCCTTCTTTAGAAAATATATCGGGATACTTGTCTGCAGGCTATAATAAGATTAATATCAGCAAAAGTTATCAGCAAACATAAGAGCAACGCTATGAGTATTCATTCTCTTTACATGAATACCCGTCAATCTGAAATGCTGCAAAAACAACCTAGGATTTTGGCATTTAGAGATCTCCCTCACACTATTGTACCTGTGCAAGAAAACCCCCGAGAGATGGACCAATTACCAAGCCTATGCCCCATGCCGTGCTTATCTACAAAATAAATTTAAAAAATTTAAAAATAAGAACAGTAGTAATAGTTAATATTTGAAAAACAAGCTTCGGATTATAGAAGATATACAAAAAAGATCGAGGGCCGAGTAAATAATCTTACTACAGACATGCCCAAAGCTTGGTATTCTTTGCGGCAAATTTCTGCAGCATATGCCTGGATCATCACGAGCATATATAGATATCACAGGTTAGAAGTGTAACTACTGCCAACACTTATTAAACAATACGAAAGTGAGTATCAAATCAAATGGGATGTTAAATTCACGAGACATACCCTCATTGGACCGAGTATTCCACACAAACTTCCTAGAAGAAACCTTGTAGAAATTGCCATCCAAAAGTTTATACTAAGGCCAAAAAGCGCATTGAAGATTGCCCTGTAGTTATTACCATTAAGAGCTAGTAAAAGAAGAGAAAGCAACAAAAATACAAAAAGGACGACGGGCATCAAAACTAAGCTAATATCGGAATAACTATAATTTTTATCCAACAGGAACACACTACAAAACTGAATCCCCAGCTCTACTAACACTGCAGCTGTGCCGAATATTACAACTGGTCGACGGCCCCACCGATCAGCCACCATTCCCCAAAGAAGGGATGTCAAAGCTCTTCCAACCATGTATGAAGATCCTTGAAAAAAATATTCAGGCATAAAAAAATAAGTAATTGCACAATATTATTTTATGGAAATAGTGTGCAAAGAATCTAACCTACAAACCCAGCATAAAAACCAATATCTTCTTCTTTTTCTGCTACGTTAAAATCCTTGATCTGCAGGAAATCAAGATGACAATACTGAAGTTGCTAAACTAATTTGATGCATAAAGAACACACTGTAAAACTGACAATCTTGTAAGATGTGACATTCTACAATAACTAGCATCACTAATATCTCCAGACTACACAGTATTGTGTATGTTTCATATGTACTGGAAGTCGATAGGTGTTAATTTAATTTTTAGTACAGTTTAGTAGAAGGATGTACCATAAAATACAGGAAAGGAAAGAGCGATGAGATTGGCAAAGCTGTAGAGGAACACAATAGAAAAGAATGCATTAGAATGCAATTAAATCAAGAAAAATAATTAATACACTTGGTGCTTAAAGACCAATAAGAAAGAATCTATATATTTTTGCCATTTCCCTTTCACAGCTTTACATGCATACAAAAAGTTTAGACCTAGGGGTAACCCTAGCCAAGTTTGTCAGGCTATTGACTTGGTAAATGGTAACTACATGGTTGCAAGTTCGACTCTCAACGGGAGTGGTCTATTGGCCTTCCTTGTTCGAGCTGATCGGCTAGGTTGGTTTACCTCTTGTGATCCTTTACCAACTAAGGTCACAAGCGGCCTCAGGTAAGGTAGGGTACAATTACCTGGTCACCCAAAAAAAAGTTTAGGCCTAAGAAGCTTGACAATTATTAACTACAACCAGGCTAGACAGAATCACCTGAGAGAGCGCCTGCATGGGCAGCTCAGTTGATCATAAGGGTGAAGTTTGGAGAGAATGATCGGCGATTGAGTCTCACTATGTGGGAGCAACCTTTCAAAGTGAGGGGCTCCTTGTGCGCAGTAAAGGCAACTGTGGTTCAGCTGAGTTACCATAATTTACATCATCCTAGATGCTCTATTCGGAATTACCACTTACCACTCGGTAAATTTAGCATACAATAGTTGAGGTGAGCTTATGTATGTTCTAAGACCAAATTAGCTATGGTTAAAAACGAGTTTGTAAATTTTGAATCGAGGGTCCACCATTAATGCACCTATCAACCTTAAGAAGAAAACGATGGAAGCCTACAACACCTGGGTTACGTTCCTCAAATCTCATTTACATTGACATATACATACATACATAGAGAGAGAGAGAGAGAGAGAGAGAGAGAGAGAGAGAGACCAGCACAGAGTGTGATAACGCCGACGAAGAAGAGATGCTTAAACGGGATTCCGGCATTGGAACGCTTCATCCGTTGAATATTGCAACCCGGGCAGAATTCCCAATATTCCTCTTCACTCTTCAACAAACAAGTCCTCACCTCCGCCATTTTCCTGCACCTCAGCTTCAATTCAATTCTTCTCCCACGCCCACAAATTTGCTTTTACTCTTTCACTCTTCAACTTTATCAACACGTACTAGCTTAAATAAATATATTTACACACACAACTTTATACTTTCTAAACTATATATATATATTTAGTGGACAGAATGATATATATATTATATATAAAAGAAAAAATCTTGACTTCATTAACAACTCAGCTGTCAGGCCAGCACCAAAGATTGAACCTTTTCTTTTGAAGAAAAACCTCCGTACTAAGTAAGATGCGTCGCCCTCAACTCTCACCGCTAATTGATACAACATAAATGAGAATCTCCAGATAACCCAGACAGAGTTCCAGTGTGCGGGTGGAGCATTTAATTTGCATTGGTCCCAGAAATGAGAAATGATGAATGGCATGGGAACCACAAATTACTTACTGCGCCAATTTTGATTATTTAATTTTTGGTGTGGTAACAAACACGACTTCCACATGCTGCCAATGCCATGCATCTTTCTTTGTCGCCTTCTTCTTCAATTACTTAGCTTCCAATAATACGGAGTAGTAATCATTAGTCAATTTTGGTTGGTTGCTAATTTCTGGACGCATGGCACCATGCACCAACGTCCACATTAAACCACATTTCATATTTCTAAAGTAATACGGAGTAGTAATCATTAGTCACTTTACAAACCATGATAAGTAGTATGATAAACATGTATAATGTATACATGTGATTTTCTATCTCATTACTTCAGGTTTTATCACTTTTAAGAATGTCATCAAACTGTTCATAAGATCAGACTAATTTCATTATCTGAAGCTTTATATTAATGCATAAAAGTGTCTTCTTTAATTAACTGATGCTATCCTTTGTTCACAAATTCATCACATAATCTGTGCTTTAAGCGAATATAATCTGGCAACTAAATTTGATAAGATTGTAAATAAAACTGGTTTGAAGAAGTATTTTGTATATAATCAGCTGACAGCTAATTTACTAAATATTTTTCTACAATCTGCTAATACTATAAACTAATCAAATCCACTAACACAATCAGCTAACAAGTAACAACTATTAACTAAAAGCCATTTACCAAATACCCCCTAATCTTTTAACTGTGAGGGGTACACGCATTCACAATTATATATTCTACTTCCTTTTTAAATTATTAGTATTAAATACATAACTGTACCTCATCGAATTCTTCCTCATTTGCTTTGGATTCTAATTAACTTAGAATTTTGATCCTTCTATAGAATATAAAGCAACTTTAAAAAGAAGTATTAATTAATAATTAATAAAGCACAATCATCAATAATAGAGTAAATACCTAAAATGGTCCTTCGACTATAGTTAAATTCACAAATTGGTTCTCGACTTTCAATTTCAACCAATTAAGTCCTTAACTTTGCAATTTTGACACGATTTGGTCCTCCATCTATTTGACCGTTTGTTGACCGCGATCTTTGAGGATATATATATATGTAGTTTCACGTGCAAAGCTCAAGAGAATGCTCTTGGAGGTGACATCGTTGTTTCGGAGGGGGAAGTGCTTCTCCGCTTGCTGCTTGGGGATCACGAGCCGGTTCAGCTTAGAGAACGCTCTTGGAGGTGACAACGCCGTTTTGGAGGGGGGAAGTGCTTCTCCGCTTGCTGCTTGGGGATCCCGAGCCGGTTCAGCTTGCCTACATCGCTTGGAGTCACGGCTTTTTCGAAGAGCCACTCCAGGGACTTCGGCGATCTATATATCTATCAAAAGCTATAATCTCTCCGGCATGGGGTGTAGCGCCGACAGTGGATTCAAATCTAACAGTGCGGTCTAGAAATGCAACCGGAACCTTAAAAAACCGACGATGGACTATGAAATTACATATATATCCTAAAAAAGCGCAGTCAACAAACAGTCAAATAGACAAAGGACCAAATTGTGTTAAAATTGCAAAGTTAAGGACTTAATTGGTTGAAATTAAAAGTCGAGGACCAATTTGTGAATTTAGCTATGGTCGAGGGACCATTTTGGGTATTTACTCTTAATAATATTCATAACAGCAAAAGTATTATGAATGATCTTTCCAAACAGCAATTTTATAAAGGAAAAAAGCGTCAAATTGGCCCCCTAAGTCGAGTAGATAGTGCAATGGGATCCCCTAAGTGAAAAAGCTCCATTCAGGTCCCCTAAACTTGTAAAATTGTTCAATTAAGTCCAAGTTGACTTGTTTATCAGGTTAAATGCATACGGTATTGACACGTGTCCTTATTTTTTTTTTTTATTAAAAATATTATTTATTATAAATTAATTAAAATAATAATACTAATTATTAAAAAGAATTAATAAAAAAAAAATAACTGTGGCCGTCCACACTGTCGATTTACTACTGACGTGTCGATTATTTTACTAAAAATTATTTAAAAAAAATATATATTTTAATACTTTCAAATAAAATAAAATAAACACCTTCATCTCCGGCTTAGAGACAAAGACGTGTTCTTCATCTCCCGTTGGAGATGAGGATTTTTTTTAAAAATTTATTTTATTTAAAATTTTAAAATAAATTTTAAAAAATAATTTGTAATAGAATGATCAACACAACACATCAATGATAACCAGAGCAATATGTAAATTTAGGTTTAATTGCATAATTATGAAATATTCAAGGGTCCCAATTACATTTTTTTTTTAATTGAATGACCTAATTTTATTTTTGTGTGTAATTCAACATTACAAAGTAATGAAGTATAGTTAGATAGCCTATTTATTGAAATGATAAAGAAAAAGTTATAATTAATATATTTTTTTGCATAAAATAAAAATTAGGAATACCTAATCCTATCTTTGTTGGTCTAGCCTGGTGCCAACTACCAATAAAAAGCTTATAGGAAGCTTGTTTGTAACAGACAACCAAGAGAACATCATTTTCCATTATGCAATAGAAAACCAAGAGACCACCATATCCCATTATGCATGGCTGATATGATCCTCTGCAAGTTTTGGCAGTTAATGAGTTCTCACGAGTTTTTGTCTAATGAATGTATTCATAAATCTCCAGCTAAATTCACACAAATTTCTCTGTTATTTTCACTAAATTAACCAATGTAAGTGAAATCACATGGGGGAGCACAATTCAAAGAGTAAGAAGAAGTAAACTTCTGAGCAGAACAACATGCATTAACTCTGAACATTAATTAAACTCTGAATTAATGCTACAGATCAAATATAAACCGTCTCCACTATCCTAAACCCGACAATCTATATGCTTGGGACCCCTCAAATGCGATCTATAATGAATGTATAAGAAAATGCTATGCACAGCTGCAGTTATCAAAAGGGGTAGAAAGAGCAAAGACAAGCCTAAAGATCTTTCCATATGTTAAAATCAGTTTTAGAGCCACTATGATTAACTACACTATCTTGGCACCCTAAGAAGAATGTACTTCGCACGGGATCGATGTTTACTAGAGCATGAGCAGTTCCACTGGGGCTAGCTGCAACAGCAACCTCATCTGCACCAAGTTTCACCTCAGCATACCCTTTTTTAAGGGCATTATTTTCCAGCTGCAAATAAAGAATACGAGCTTAGCATCAAATCTAGGCAAAAGATGAAAAGAAAGGCTTATAGAATCTTTAATAGAACAATCTTATCATTCCTTTACGTTCTCGTGTTTTCATTTGCATGCATTGCAGACTATCAGAGGGAAAGATGGGACCAGATATCAACACTAAAGCAATATCCAAGCTTAAACTATAACTTGCAAACCACTTCAAAGTTTCTTGGAATTAGAATATCAATCAATATCATGATGTCTATTGAATTCTTTCATAGTTATAGTTCAAAGTAATGTTTAGTGCCAACACATCACATCACTTTCTTCTATGATTCTCCTGCAATTATACACTTAGAGAACTCCACAGAAGTGGATGAGGAATGTAATATGGAGCACTTGTTTGAAGCATATGCCATCTCTCCAACAAATTAGACAAATTAATTGAGTGAGTTTCAACTATTTCCTGCATTCTCACCTCGAGTATAATATTACACAGAAATCAAGTTCAACAGAGAAAACAGACAGTTTCTCATACAAGTTGCACCAAAAGAAAACTCTCCAGCATCTCAACAATATACATCATTGGTGCCAAATGCAAATTAAAGTTAATCAGTTCAGGAAAGAGTTAATACCATCTAGGGTCATCCGAGTATAGTAGTTTTGCCACATTTAGTCCTAAACTTTTAAATTAACCACCCATGGTCCTTCGACTTTCAAATTGTTAGCATCCGTAGTCCAAGTTAACCACCCATGGTCCTTCAACTTTCAAAATTTAACCAGCCGCGGTCCTCCTGGAAGGACCATGGGTGGTTAAAATTTGATAGTTGAAGGACCATGGGTGGTTAACTTGAACCACGGATGGTAACAATATGAAAGTCGAAGGACCATGGATGGTGAATTTGAAAGTGTAGGACTTAACGTGTCAAAAACACTATACTCGAAGGACACTAGATTGTATTAACTCGTTCAGGAAATTATAAATTGCAGAGTACAACGGGGTCTGAGCAATTACAGGTAGGAATTAAAGAAACAGCATACCCTGAATATCATTTTAGACCCCCAAATGACAAATGTCTCATTACATGTATGGTGCCTATGGTTTCCCCTTGTGCCACCAGGTTTGATCTCACCCAAATGAACTGAAGCACAACTTGTTGCTCCCCCTGTATAAAATGGCAAGTTATAGAGCACTTAACAGGCATAACTCAACTAGTTAACTTGACACTAAAATCAACCTATACTGCATTTTGAACATAGAATTCAAGACAGTTCTTTAATCTCTCAAGTGTTCAACCACTTCAAGCAATCATTAGAAAGAACAACAGCATAAACGAAAGCACCTTTCTACTGAATTCTGATACATTTTCAAAACGAAATCCTATTTAATTCGGTAACTAAGCAGGGTGAATATGACAAAGAAGAAGAAGCAGAGACCTGAAATATGAGCATCTAGGGCAAGCGAGATGGGATTCAGCAGCCATCCACGCTTGTCTTTGGCAATAAGTGAAGAAGAAGCAGAGAATCGCGCTAAATTGGCAAAATGGTCATCGTCAGGTGACCAGTCCGCACGCTGCCCCAACTCAGATCCAGATTCCGATCCTCCTCCGAGTGGAAAATGAGTGGAGGGTCGTCGTAATCGGAGGGAGACCCAGGTCAGAAAAAGGAAAAGCGAGAGCAGGAATGGGAAAGCGTGAGGCTTCTTTAGGAACGACTTGGCTGAACTCAATAGTGTGGCTGGAGCTTGGCCGCCGCCGCTGACGGTGGAGCTGGGCAGTTGGTGGTGGTTGATGGCGGTGGAAAACGACGTTCTCCTAGGATTAGCCATTAATCGATCTCTCTTCCTTTCCACATTCTCCCTCACAATCGAGTTTATGAGACCTGGCACTGAACCATGGTGTTGGTGTGAATTTCGAGTGTGATTTCACAATTTGATTGATTTAAAACTGTATTTTATAAAATATAAATACTACTCCATAATATTTTACAAACAAAATACTAATAAAATAAGGGAAAATGACATTTTTTTCCCCTGAGTTATATACTTATAGCACTTTTTTCCCCTCAATTATTTAGGTAAGTATATTAACCCCCTCAATTATTCTAAAAGTGGTGTTTTTTCCCCCTGATATATTAAATTGACATTTCTATCCTTAAAGTAAACATTTTATTTATTTTACTTCTCCAACAAATTATTGCGTATACGTAGCGATGACCACGGTTTGGTTTGAACTGAACCGGACACTAAAGCAATCGAATTAAAAGTATCCGGTTATGATTCAGATTTAAAACCCAATATTTAGATGTCAATTTATTAAAATTATGTATAAAAAAGTTGAATCTTGAACCGTAAACCGGCGGTTCCGGATCCGGTTCACGATTTTGAACTGTCTTTATTTTAAAATTTTAGTTTTTATTTTAAAATAGTCTAAATTCAACAATAAAAGTATTTTATTTTTTTCAGTTCGGAACATGAACAGTCCGTTCCGGTTCACGATTTTAATAAACTCTAAATATCGGGTTTCGATTCAAAATTGTAATTGAAATATTTCGGTTTGGTTGCTATAGTGTTTGTTTGGTTTGAACCAAATTATGGTCATAATTTATTGGAGAAAAAAATAAATGAATTATTTATTTTAAGGGTAAATATGTCCATTTAACATTTCAGGGGGAAAAATAGTCACTTCAATAATTCAGGAGAGAAAAATGCTCAGGGGGAAAAAGTACCATTTTCTCATAAAATAATAAAAATATAATAAAATCAATTTAAAAGCATGAAAAATCCGCCATAAGAGATATTACATAATAAAATATATAAATCACAATATTGAAAGCATGAAGAATTATTTTGAAAATGTTATAAATATTATTATTATGGTATTATAACACAACCTTTCATTTGTCTTATATTTATTCCATTTATGTTATAGAAAATGAAGAGTTGTATTGATGTATATATATATATTCATGTTCAAGGCTTAATGAAAGGGTGATGGTGTGTTCTTAAGCTCTACATCTTGAGTTTTTACATTTTCCCTACCTCTTTACATTTTATTATTTTGCATACAATCTACCGGCAATTACCGTACAACTATCATGTGAAAACTAAGCTAACTAGAATGCCAAATTACATAAGAGAAAAAAAGGTCAAAAGAGAAAATAAAATTAGGAAAAGCTGAATGTTAGAGCATCTCCAACCGTTGTGATTTTTGATGAGTTTTTGTAAGAGCCCGTGCATATTTTGTAATTTTAGAAAATTTTGTTTGCTCGGTAAAAATGGGTTTTTGGAACCGTGCGCGGGAGAAGGCAAGAGAGAGAAACTATGCGCGTTTCGCGCAAAATCAAGCCGGGGGCGCCAGCTTAAGCATATATATTTTAAATGGCAAATCAATTTTTTTTCTCTCTTTTATTTTTCTCTTTCACTCTTCCCTTTTCTAATCACACCTACAAAAACTCCTCAATTAAAAAAAAAAAAAAAAAAAAAACTTCACTATTATAAATGCTCTAAATACGACTTTTTGATAATTTATTTATTTATTTATTTCAAAGTAACAAAAGTGTCCTCAGCAATATAATAAAATAAAGCAAATAATTAAACATTCATATTGATTTGATAGATAAATGCCGCTGCGCTGCAGGGCATGGTGAATATTTAATTTACTGATGAAATAGAGAATTCTGAAGCATGAATCTGCCCCCTTAAATTTGTCGCACAATGATATATGACGATGATGAGTCTCATATCTTTGTAGCGCCAAACGCGGAAACTGCTTGAATTAAAGCCATCAAGTTGCAATGAGAAGAACCACCTTTTTGGACTGCCTTCTTAGCCTTTTCTCCCAACTCTTTCACTTTCCTCCTCCTCTCCTTCCCTGCTTCTTTATCCATTAGCTTATCTATGCCTTCCTTGATCTCCTCATACTTCGCCACTACTATGTTCTCCTTGTCTTCACTCCCATCCCAATTAACCGGCACATTCACCCCTAGGCTCACCCCAATTCCGAGCACTTCCACCACCAGCTTCTCGTTCAAAAACTGTTCAGCAAACAGTGGCCATGTCAGCATTGGCACCCCGAAAGAGACGGCTTCCATTACCGAATTCCACCCGCAGTGTGTCAAGAATCCTCCGACCGAGGGGTGCTGCAGGATGAGCAACTGCGGGGCCCACTCCCGGATCAGCACCCCTCTCCCTTTGTTCCTTTCCTCGAACCCGGTGCTCACGTTCCAATCCTCAAACGCATCAAGATGCATGTCTTTCTTCCCCAACACCCAAATAAACGGCCGTTTCGAAGACTCCAAACCTACAGCCAGTTCCGTCATCTGACGTGGCGTGAGCCTAGCGAAACTTCCCAGGCTAACATATATCGTCGATCCTGCCTCCTGCAAGTCCAGCCACTTCATCACTACGTCGTCATCATTCTTCTTGTCGGCTGCTGCCGACGTGGCACTACCTCTCAGCGCCTGGTCTTCGTGTTCTTGATTGCATAACCACACGGGGCCCACGCACCACACTCTCCCTCCGTACATCTCAACATAATCCGGCTCCAGTTCATCGAAGCTATTGACAATGGCGCCGTACGCGGCGTTCACCGTCTGCCGGAGCTTTTCCGCCACCAGTTTCGCGATATCGCTGTTCAAAACAGTGGGGTCAAACGCGACGCCTTTGACCTGTGCTTTGCAAACTTGTACGTTGTGCGGTACGTCGGGGACAGTGAACATCTCCGTTTCGGATTTCACTCCCCCGAGAATCCCGGAATCCGTTATTTTGTTAGCGCAGCAGTAGGAGAAACAAGACGAGACGTTGAACACAATCCTGGGGATGTTAAGCCCCTCCGCGATCTCCGCGGTCCACGTCAGCAGCATGTCGGAGACTATGCAGCTCGCCGGCGGCTCGCACCGCTTCATCGCCTCCTCCACCTGGGGGCGCAGCATGCCGACGGCGGCGAGAAAGTTCATGTCGAGGTTTTTCCCTTTGGGGACCAAGTCGGCGTTCTCGCAGCCTTCCGGCAACCCGGCTTCTTTGCAGGGAAACCGGAGCTCCAGCTCCCGGATGTCGAAGCCGCGTTGGCGGTCGCGGTGGAGCATGGAGCGGAAGCGGTCGGCGTTGACGGGGGTGGTGAGGATGGTAACCATGACGCCGTCACAGCGTGCTAGCATCCTGGCAACATCGATCACGGGGAGCATATGGCTTTGCGCCATCATGGGAAACACAATGAAATGCAGCAGCTGCCCACGGGATTGGTTCCTCGTTATCGCCGCCATGGCCGCCGGTCGAATTCAATATATATATATAGATGTTATAATTCAAAGCAATATATATTGCATGCACAACTACTACAGATCGAATGTCTATATATATATATATGAGATGAGATGGGAGAACGTGTTTTGTCCCACATGCATCCACCAAATTAAACATACTATATTATACTGTCTAATACGGCCTGGCCTGTCCGTCTTGATTAAATTTCTAAAAGTATGTGTACGTATATATTAGTATATTGTGAGCAAGTATATATATTGTTGGTTTGTTAACCTTTAATTTTGAGCACGAGGTCCAACACAATTGGAAACAGATTAGATTGTCGAAAAATATTAAAGACACTCGGAATAATCTCTTCAATCCTCATGTGTATATTGAAATTTCTTCACCTCTTTACAGTCACTTAGAAAGCCTTTTTATAGCAGTCCGTGTGACCGTTGGACTCAGTCTCGTCATTAATATATTTAATGAGCTAAATAATAAACAATAAATGCCTTAATTACACCCTAATCATTAATCCGGCTCCTTGCCCGCTTCCATGACGTGTCTCATAATGGTCGGACTATCTAGAATCTTCATCTTCCAGCTACCTTCTGCCGACTCCTTCTATCACTCGGCCTCAGCTCGCTTCTCCACTTAGTTCGTCCTGACTAACTAACCCTCTCTTCCGACTCCTTTATCCTATCAAATAGCCTCGTCCGACTCCTCATTCTGCTCCCGATCAGCTCCAGGATGTCTCTTTCATTCGATCAGCTGTAGGCTACCTCTATTCGTTTCTCCACAGGGTGCCTTCTCACCCGATCGACTAAAGGTTGCCCCTTTCACTCGCTCAACTCCTTAGGACCAATTCCGAAAGTCTTCCTGCAGGATGACCCCTCGAAGTTGAGGATTTTAGCAAGATCAACATTAATCATTTTGAGCCTTGGTTAGACATATCCCCTCTTTCTCCTGGTAACTCCTGACTCGTAACCCGTTCACTTGCTACTCCGCTCGGATCGTTCACCCACCCAGTCTTCGGGTATATATATATATATATATATATATATATATATATATATATATATATATATATATATATATATATATAACAAAACTTGTGTGAAACTGTTTCATGGATCCTTGTATGTGAAATGGGTCGGATCAAAATAAAATGTAATACTTATACTAACAAATGTGATACTAAATCAAAAATAAAACGTTTATTATTTATATGAGAAAATGTATTTTTTTTTTTACATTTTGATGTAAAAGTATTATATTACATTTTCATTAAAAGTATTACATTTTTCTTTATAAATCTTAATTTAGTATTACATTTGCATATTAACTCGACATAACTCCACTTGTCTCACGAAAAAAGATCCATAAAACGACCTCACATAAGTGTGATTCATATAAAATCATTTTTTGCGAACCCTTGATGCAGTATATTTTGCATTGTTACGTATTACAGAGTGCAATTATAGAGATCTACAAACGTTAACTAATTACCAAATTGAAATATTTCTAGAAATCATACTAAAATTATAATTAGTATTACATTTTAAAATACTTGAAAGTACATACAATCACAATCTCATATAAAGTGACGATAAATATGTTACTAAGAAAAAATATGTGCAACATTCCAAAGGCATACCCCGAAATATGCTGAGCTAAAAAGCATGTACGTATAAAAGAGGTGGCCAAGTAGATGAGCATAATGTTCGTATTTAAAAATTCACGAGTTTGATTCTTGTCAATTACTTCTTGGTTAAGCTCGTCAAATAAAATTTACCTAGTGCAATTTATCTCTGGTATGTAGTTTGCGAGCTGTTACATAGGAACGGACTTTATCATCTGGAGAAGAGAACAGCTAAAGAACCCCAGGAGAACAGCTGCAAAGCAAAAATGCTATTTGGTGATTAGCCATTACAGTCTACTCTTCAGGACTGAACCATTTTGCTTTCACAATTCTGTCATCAGGGCTCACTATAAGAACTCAAAATGGTTCTAGTGACCGCTTCTCCTGCATTATAATATACTGTTTCCTTTAAGATGAACCATAAAATTGATAAAGTTTGTACCATGGCAAGTTTTTGGGTGCTGGAGGAAGACAAGAGAAAGGGGAGGGGGGGGGGGGGGGGGGGGTGCATATGGTCGTATTTAAGCGCAAGAAAATATATATCCATCACGCATAGGAACAACTGCAATGAATTTGATGTCCCCATCTAGGATATGTTTCTCGTAAATTGCATGCAATTGTTTCAGTCTTTGCGGAGGCCAGTAAAGGGCCAAGTCCAGCAATTGGTGGCTAGGAAATTGTTGGCAGAGGCCAGTGAAGGGCCAAGTCCAACACCCTGCCTCTCGAAAAAGTAGCGGTACAAGGAAATAAAGGTAAGCGTTTGATCCTAGAACAGACAATAGATGAAAAGAATAATGTGACAAGTGAATACACACATCCTGACCTTTTTACAGCTTCTTTTCCCTGCAGAGCTGCACGGGAGGCTAGTTGATGTACTACATCGAAATTACGTAGGCTCATTGCCTTCTTATCGAATATAGCATCTGACAAAACAACTGCCGATGCTCCCTGAGCAATATATTCCCCGACTAAATCTGAATTATTATAGCACAGTTATCAATCTCTCCGTCAGAAGGCTTAGAAGACAACTGTTGTACAAATTACAAACTGAAGAATATGCAAAAGAGAGATACTAATAAGTAATAACACAATATTACTTCCCCCATTCCCGTATATGCAATCAATGATGACAATCACTTTGCTAATAACAAACCTAAAACGGTAAAACCATTTCTCATTTCCCCAAAAACAAGATAAAACTTTTAGATACCAAGACTGAAATCTAAAAGCAAAACAGTAAGACATGGCTTATGAGTGATAAACCTTTTACATAACCAACCTATCGTTATCCCCTGAGATGCTACCATTGGAATATGAGAGAATGGCCTTTTCAATGCCGAAATATACTTAGTTCCTCCCAATGCTGAGACAGGATATACCTATTGCAGACCAAAAAGGACAATTTCAAAATGAGCACACGAGGAATTTGAAATTTTAAAATGTAATATCCACTGTCAAAGAAAACAAAAGAAGTTACTCATTTGGAACAAAAAGAACAACATTTTAAACAATGAATATTATATTTATATCACAACCATAAAATAAAAAATGACGAATGGATATTGTAAATTAAGGTTTGACAGCAAAGATAGACAAACTATGCATAAAAGCTAACGGGAACCAAAACTCTCTCTCATTCTGAAAATTTGGGAAATTTTCATAACTGACCTTGACAATCTTGGCACCCATACTGAAGGCAGATAATATCTGCAACATCATGCAATTAATTCTATAAGTCTCTTCTGCCATTTGTCTCATCTTAGAGCAGTTGCTATATAAGTTATAGAACAATAACAATCTCAAGAATATCTGAGAAAAGGGGCTACGCCCCTTTATTAAGATGGGGATTGGAGTTAGCAATCCCAATGCTCGTGAAGGCCTCTACTAGTTCAAATGTCCTTGGACGAAAAAGATAGATACCCATTGCTACAAAATTCAAATCCAATGGGTAGAAATGATTTTTCTAATGTCATATCAATGGAACAAAGATAGTTGCCACTTGCCAGTCCGGATAAAGCAAAGAGAGGAAAATACATTATACGGTTATACCCCTACCTCTGTTGGGGTCATTGCTCCAGGTATATACAGAGCCTCATCTCCTGAAAGACCAACTAGAATGTCCTGAGATAGAGAAAAGTGGTTCAGAATATATTTATGAAAAAATAAGCGATCCTACGCTCATAAGTATATTCAAAAGTTCTACCGCAGCACTAATAGCCAGAAGATATTCAAAGTTATTTCCATCCAAGCCATTCAGACTAAAGAACAATTTATGTCCAGAATTATAAAATAGTAATAATAATTATGTGAATACAGATTGAAATGGAAATAGATTAAACAACAAAGACTTGATAGGCAATATTATTACTCAAGCTTCAACTATATACCTTCACTAATACAGGACTCATAAGAAACTTGGCTCCAAACTCACTCGCATCTTTGGCATCTTTTGCACACAATACAGTTCCAATCTGCAAAAGTAGCACTTCTTTACTAGGTACCATCTGGTCCTTATTCTTTTCCCCTTTCATGAAATAGATGACAGGAAAAAAAAAAAAAAAAAAAACTAAAAATCAATAGATCAATTACACCCATGCTTTCGATACCTTGCATCAAGAGTCAAATAACAACTTTACAAATGTTGAATTGTTTCAGTCATGTATTACCTATGGAAACATTGAGATTTACTAACAAAAGGTTTGGTAATTATGCACTTATTTGATTATGTAAAAGCAAGCATTGATGCTCACAACCGGATTCCAGACAAAAAAATGCAGTGTAAAAGGCCTAGCTTTGAATAGTGAGGCATTCTTAGTTTGGATTAATAAGAAGCAAACACAAAAATAATGCAATAAAAAAGAATGGCTAGTAGAATGCTTACTCCTATAGTTTTTGTGGGATAACAATGGACTAATTTTCTTAATACCTGCATGGAAGAATTGAGATGTACGGGAGTGGTCAAACAGCTTTGTAGTAGTATTTTTCAGCATCCAAGAAAACCAAAAGCATGTTACCATGTGTTTACAAGTACCTCAAACACACCTGGAGTTGACACTACAATTTCCAGCTGCAATCAAGAAATATTATTTATTAGAAGGCCTTAAAAGTGGATTTAGTTCACCTGCCAAAAAGTACTCCATAGTAAAGAAAGGCCAAGTTAGGTAACAACAACTTCCCCGTTCCTCAGGTTGCAAAATAGCATGGTTGCCCTTCAGAGAGGCTTTAAGGCATTAACTGTTCGGTTGACCCTTTTAGGACTAAATTCACTAAATGCAAAATCTTTACTTGAAATTTATGTTTCCCCTTACGTCTTGAATTTCATCACTCAACAGTCAACACCACCTATATTAGTTAGCCAGTTTGGTGTAATCAGCAAGGTTTGAGGTGGCTGCAAGAGAAACACTATTTAGATTAACCTTCAGCAAGTGATCAGTAGTGACTATGTCATATACACTCTTCCCTAGTCCTAATCATCTTTCTCACACAAATAACTTATAAATCTCCTGAAAGTCCACCCTTTATCTCCTACTCTTTAACTCTACAAGAGCATCTTGTAAAATAAAATAAAAAGCAAAAGATTTCATGTTTATTAATTCATGTAGCAAAATCTCCAATCTATCATTTCTAAAATAGACAAGGATCGCCTAGATGATAGACATACTTAATTACATGGTCATCAAGATTAAATAAGGACAACCTTGGAATATTTCCCTTGCATTCAAATGTGACTAAAGTAGAAAGATGAGAGGAAAGAGGCCACTTCCATTAAAAAATGAGGTGGGTTAGTGATTATAATCCCTTCATTAACATGAAAATGCAGGAAATAGGGGTCTTAACTCTTAAGTAAGAGGCACCAAAAACAATGTAATTCAATTCCGGGAAAATTGCATTTTTGTCCTTAAGTTATACCCGTAATACAGACTTGGCCCCAAGTTATATACGTGACCATCTTTTAACCTTAAATTATGGGAGAAGTGAAGTTATACATGAAATGGCGATTTTTGTCCTCGGGACTATTTCTGTCACCATTATGTCAATTAATAAAGTGAAGGATTTGATTCTTTAAGACTAAACTCGCCACTTTAGGCATAACTTAGGGATCAAAAGATGATCACTTATATAACTCAGGACACTAAGGTCCTGTTTGGTAAATGGCTGTTAGTTGTTAGTTGATTGGGTTAATTAGATGTATAACTAGTTGATAATATTAGCTGATTGTACAAAAGTGTTTGGTAAATTAGTTGTTAACTGATAGCTGTTTGGTATAATTTCTTTTTTCAAAAAGCTAATTGAAAAAGTTTTTTTGAGTAGCTTTTTTAATTTTAGTAGGTTAGAGTTACAAAAAACTAATTAACCAAACACTTATAATGATTTTTTAACAAGTCAAACAACCAATAGTGATCAAATAAGCTAAAATTGGCCGGCTAACTATTTGATCAAAGAGGGCCTAAATGTGTAACACCGTATAAGTGGATGACAAAAATACAATTTTCCCTTCAACTCTCCATGAAAACAACCTTTCCTGCCTGAATTATCTGCAAAATACTTCAAAGGAAGTAAAACTCACCACGGAGATTCCAGCATCAAGTGCAGCAAGCGCAGCTTCCATGGCCACTTCTGCACTAAAAGAAGATACCCCAATGTTTCGCGAAAGCATGAGAAACTCTACCAACAAATTTCAATTAAACCAAAAAAAAAAAAAAAAAAAAAAAAAAAAAAAAAGACAGAAAGAAGGGGAAAAGGAGACAGAGTTCAATTTACAGATTGGGGTTACCTTGGAGCACGGAGACACGCAATGACTCCAGAATTTTGGATATCTAGCAACGCTTTATCGGAGACACTGTTACTAAGAGTGTTAAGGGAGACAGAGTTCAATTTACACTTAGACGTAATCTTCCTTTCTCTTGTTGATGCTGATGAAGAGAAAATCCGAGTCATTTGAGAAAGAGGAAGCGGTAGACTACAGCTCCCAACTGCCATTGTTAACTTTTCCTTTTGAGGATAGATGACAATGATTATATTTATCTCAAGACTTGCTAGTGAAAAAGAAAAAAAAAAATGATAATTATATCTAACTTTTTAAAATTTTGTAAAAATTTTAGAGAATTATATTCAATTATCCATAAAATTATTTTGACAAATTAATATCAAACATTTATATTTTATTAACAGTTATTATTATTTATTACTAATACATTTTTATCTAACATGATTTTCTTAAGTTTGCACACAAGTTATTTAAAAACAACAACAATATCATTTTTTTTTTTAAAAAAAAAACATAATGTATGAAAATGTCTACTTTATACAACTAAAGGTTCAAAATTAAACTTTGAGAAAAATACATTTTTAGTCTTAAATTGTTCTTTGTTAGCCGTTTTAGTTCATAACTTTTTACCATTTCAATATATATCATTAACTCTTCAATTATTATATCACCAAATTTTTTTCATAATTAACGGATATTTACTTTACTATTAACTTAATGTTCCAAAGTTTGAAGGATGAAGAGAAAAAATAAAAATTACAAATTAAATAATCAATATTAAATTTTGTGGGTGGGTAAAGATGGGTGGCCGGGTTGCACTTAAGTTGGATATGGCGAAAGCCTATGATCGCATGGAATGGAATTTTTTGAAGTCGATGATGGAGGCGTTTGGTTTTCTTGCGGAATGAATTGATCTAGTTAATCATGCTATGCGTCACAATTGTATGGTATAAATTTCTAGTTAATGGTAACCTCACGGACCAATTGTGTCATATTCGTGGCCTCCGTCAAGGTGATCCAATGTCCCCTTACCTCTTCCATCTCTTTCCTTCACCTCACTCATTTCTCCTAAAAAATCGATCCTAAATCCACTAATGTTGATGGTTTTATAAAAACTTGAAGTGCCTCCCCGTTTGAAGAATTTCCTATGACTCTCAGACAGAGTTTCAAACTTGGGACCTTTGTCCATCTCCATTGTATTCGTTCAATTTTACTACTTTAAAATTTAATAAGAGTATCTTATTTTATTTGTCAAAAAAAAAATAATAATAATAATAGAGGAGGTATCTTTACATTCTACAACAAACTTGGATATGAATGTTGCAACAACGGAGTATCATACAATTATTATAATATATTTTTTTAATAATATTAACAACAACGCACTAATTACCATCGTGACGTACAAACTAATCACTAAAACACGTAAGACAAGCTAAGCAATTTAATTATTCTTCCCAAAAAATTGAATCCCCAATCTCAATGACGCACAACATTTAAAATTATCATATGTAACTTAACTATTGTAATAAATCAATGCGACAAATAGTCGTCAAAAGTTGTGACAACATTTACATCTATTGCAACAAAAATAATTATTGTTGTAAATAATAATTACTTCTTGATCTTCTATATCATTTGATGTGTCTGGTTCGATTAACCAGACATAACTAAAATTATTTTTAATTTAATTCATAATATTAAATTTAGTATTAATTATGTTATAATGCAATATGATGTTAGAATTTGAAACACAAGTTAAGGATAATTAATTTTTAAAATTTAAAGTATATAAAAAATAAAAAATAATAATAATAAAAGAAGAGTACGGCTGTCATAAAAAAAATAAAAAATAAAAAAACTAATTTTCGTGTAACAGAAATCATAATTTTGTTGAGCAAATATTAAAATTAGGGCTAGATCTTTGCTCACTGTGCACAAGAAATGAAACCCCCTTACTTTGAGAATCATGCTAACTCAACTAAACATGAGACTTGATCCCTGATCATTTTTTAAAAATTTCACATTTATGACCAGTTGAGCTATCTATACGGGTAAAAAAGAAATAATAATTTTAGCAAAGGAGGAGAGCTAATATTTTAATAATGTATTAATTTACGTGTAGTCGTGGAATGCGTGGCAATATAATTAGAATGGGTTGTATGTTTCATGGGAAAACACGTTCCCCCTTCTACATATATATAAAACGTACAGTAGTTATGTGGTGAGGCTTGTGCAGTTGTGCATGCAAATGCAGCATTGCTTTCTACACCAAATTACGATAGGATACATCTGCAATGGAGATAACGCGCAACCTCCCGTTAGCCGCTGCATTTTATGGTTAGCAACTACTAGTTGTTAGTGATTGCATATTACGTGTCATAATTTTTAATAATTAATAATTAATTATTAATTATTACGCATTATATGTTATAATTTTCAATCTTTTAAGGACAATAATATTGTATATCTATATACTCTCCGTCTGATTATTATTAGTTATAATTTTTAATATTTTGAAAACGGCATTGTATATCTATATACTCTCCATCTTGTTACTATTAGTTATAATTTTCAATATTTTGAGGACGACATTGTATATCTATATACTCTCCGTCTTGTTATGTACTATTAGTCACACAAGTGTGTCTAGTTTTTATTTTTTTTAAAAAGTGACGAGAGAAACCCGCAACCACTATTTGAGGGCGTGCATAGGGTAAACTCCGCCTTATAATTCTAGTCAGTAAATAATCAAAAAGAGGTAAACCAACATAGATTGACTATAGCTGACTGGCTCAACCAAGAGGCTGGGATTCGAATCTATGACATTGTGGTTACAAGTTTGTATCCATAGCCATCTTGATTGGGGTTATCCCCAAGTATGTCTAGTTAAAGACACGAAAAATGATTATGTCATTCTATATTTATATGTGGATGATATACCCATCATTAATAATAATGATCAAATTATCAAATTAAAAAAAAAAAAAAAAAAAAAAAAAAAAAAAACATGTTAAATTTAAAAGGAATAAGGGTCAAATAGGCTATTCAACCGCACGCGATAATGTAATTAGGCCACTTAACTTTTTTTTTTAAAAAAAAAAAATTACAATTGAGTTTCTAAACTAATCCATTTCAAACAATTTGTCCAATTTGCAGGTTTTCCTCCTTTTTAACAGGTCACCCAAATTTAAAATATTTTTTTAAATAATTAATTAAAATAAACTAAATAATAATAATAATATAATATAATATAATAATAATAATAATAACATCGTCTCCGCCTAAGACGAAGAAGGTATCTTAAGGTGCGCCATTTTAAAATCATAGGTGCGTCGTTTGTATTCTTAAGGTGCGTGGTTTGTGTACTTAAGGTGCGTTGGCCTAAATTTTTAGGTGCGCGTGGTTTGTGTTCTTAAGGCGCTTTGTTTAATTGCAATCGTTATGCGTTGGACCCGTGTCCAGCATGCTTGCTGGACACGGGTAACAGTGCCGTTAGGCACTGTTATCTCCTTTTTTTTTTTTTTTTTTTTTTTTAAATTTCAGACCGCTTCGTTATAGGAGTATATGTTCATAATTTTATTACTATATTATTAATAACTGTACATTCATAACTCCATAACTGTACGTTCATAACTCTATAATTGTACATTCATAACTCCATAACTGTACATTCATAACTCCATAACTGTACATTCATAACTCTATAATTGTACATTCATAATTTTCGAAGCTCTATGTTCACAATTTTAGAGCTCTATGTTCATAATTTTATCACTATATGTTCATAATGTTAGAGCTCTTTGTTCATAATTCGATCAATAACTGTACATTCATAATTCCATAACTGTAGATTCATAATCTCATAACTGTAGATTCATAACTCCATAACTGTACATTCATAATCTTCGAAGCTCTATATTCACAATTTTAAAGCTCCATGGTCATAATTTTATCACTATATATGTTCATAATTGTAAGTTCATAATGTTAGAGCTCTGTGTTCATAATTTCATAATTGCATAACTGTACATTCATAACGGCATAACTATACATTCATAATCCAAAAAAAAAAAAAAAAAAATAACGCCGTTAACGGCAAAACGCGCGCGATTTTTTTTTTTTTTTTTTAACTAAATGACGCGTTTTTTTGAAAAACGACGTCGTTTTGGACCTGTGTCCACAATTCACTGTGGACATGGGTTCAGGGCATAATTTGCCGTTTAATTGTGTGCTTAAGGTGCGTGGTTTGTGTACCCGTGCTCCAAGTACGCCATTTTAATGCTTAAGGTGCGTCAACCTCACAACCGCATGGGAAGCTATACTCGCACCTGAACCCTTCCATATATATATATATATATATATATATATATATATATATATATATAGGGTCCAGAAATTTAAAAAAAAAAAAAAAAAACAAAGAATATTTTTCAAACTTTGTAGTATAAACCTATGCACGGGTAATATAAAACTTTACACTCTGTAGTATATATAAATATTTTGCACTTTATAATATATGCTTATGTACTTTCAAATATCAATTTAGAAAAATGCAATGATATTTTAATAAATATCTCAAACTAATTTAGTCTTTGAACTTGTAGTATAAAATTATGCACTTCAAAGTTAGAGAAAATTATCAAAATGACACCTCATCTATTTAAAAAAAAATAAAAATAAAATTCCCTTGGAGTTTTGATTTGTACCAAATTAAGGGTTGAGATCTGATCTCATCATGTTTTTTTACCTTAACGCCATAAATATACATACATACATATATATATATATATATATATATATATATATATATATATATATATATAATCAAATGAGAATCATTGTTGTGCGAATTGCACCTCAAGCCTTAATAATGCAAAATTATAATTACAAAAGTAACTACATAAATGTATGTTTCCATATTGCACAATCACACAAAAAGACATTACAAGATGCAATAGGTAGTTTGCACACATTACAATGGATAGTTATGTTGTGCATCCGTATGCACCATGCATGGTGCATACGGATGCCAAAACGACGTCGTTTTATTAAAAAATGCGCGTCTCCCCTTTAAAAAAATTCAGGTTCGATTCCCAGCAACAACATTATATTGTTCATTCATTCTTAAATTTTAGTTCATAGATTATGGAATTATAGTTCATTGATTATGGAATTATAGTTCATCGATTATGGAATTGTAGTTCATCGATTCTGAAATTTTAGTTTATAGATTATGGAATTTTAGTTCATTCATTCTGGAATTTTTAGTTCATAGATTAGATTATGGAATTATAGTTCATCGATTATGGAATTATAGTTTATCGATTATGGAATTATAGTTCATCGATTATATATGAATTTTAGTTCATATGTTGTTGCTGGGAATCGAACCTGATTTTTTTTTTTAAGAGGAGACGCGCGTTTTATTAAAACGACGTCATTTTTGCATCCGTATGCACCATGCATGGTGCATACGGATACACAGCATAATTTGCCCATTACAATATGTCAATATGCACAATAGGTAGTCACACGAGAGATGCGATTTTCATTTATTTGATCCTACCCTTCATTAGGCCCTGTTTGGTAAAAAATTGGCCTATAGGCCAATTTTGACTTATTTGACCGTTATTAATTGTTTGATTTAGTTAATATATCAATAGAAATGTTTGATTAATTAGCTTTTTGTAACTCCAAAAGGCTAAAATTCAAAAAGTTACTCCAAGCAACTTTTTCAATTAGCTTTTTGAGAAAAGAAATTATACTAAACAACTATCAGCTAACAGCTAATTTACCAAACACTTTTCTACAATTAGCTAATGTTATCAACTATTTATACCCTCTAATTAACACAATCAGCTAACAACTAACAGCTATCAGCTAACAACCATTTTACCAAACAGGACCTATATATACTCCAATATATATGTATGTATGTATACTTTCCCATAATATATATACTAATACTCCGTATATACGTAGTGTTCAAAAAAAGAAACTAATACTCCGTATATACGTAATGTTCAAAAAAAGAAACTAATATATACGTACACCTACTTTTGGAATTTTAATAATCCACAAGTAACCAGTACGTATATCGAAAGTGACGGACAGGCCAGATCAGATGTGGTACAAAACACGTTCTCCCATCTCTCTCTCTCTATATATATATATAGATACTCACAGGGTATGGTTCTATAGACTGTAGTGCTTGTGCATGCAATATATATTGCTTTGAATTATAACATCACATTCACAGTAATATATTCCACCGGCCATGGCGATAACGGCGAACCAATCCCGCCGGCAGCTGCACTTTATTGTGTTTCCCGTCATGGCGCCGGGCCATATGCTCCCCTTGATAGATGTTGCCAGGTTGCTAGCACGCTGTGACGGCGTCAAGGTTACCATCCTCACCACCCCCGTCAACGCCAACCGCTTCCGCTCTATGCTCCACCGCGACCGCCAACGCGGCTTCAACATCCGGGAGCTGGAGCTCCGGTTTCCGTGGAAGGAAGCCGGGTTGCCGGAGGGCTGCGAGAACGCGGACTTGGTCCCCAAAGGGAAAAACCTCGACATGAACTTCCTCGCCGCCGTCGGCATGCTGCGCCCGCAGGTGGAGGAGGCGATGAAGCGGTGCGAGCCGCCGGCGAGCTGCATCGTCTCCGACATGCTGCTGACGTGGACCGCGGAGATCGCGGAGGGGCTCAATATCCCCAGGATTGTGTTCAACGGCTCCTGTTGTTTCTCCTACTGGTGCATAAACAAAATAACGGATTCCGAGATTCTCGGGGGAGTGAACTCCGACACGGAGATGTTCACCGTCCCCGACGTACCCCATGAGATACAAGTTTGCAAGCACAGGTCAAAGGTGTCACGTTTGACCCGAATGTTTTAAACGGCGAGATCGCGAAACTGGTGGCGGAAAAGCTCCGGCAGACGTTAAACGCCGCCTACGGCGCCATTGTCAATAGCTTCGATGAACTGGAGCCGGATTATGTTAAAGAGTATAAGAAAATGTACGGAGGGAGAGTGTGGTGCGTGGGCCCCGTGTCGTTATGCAATCAAGAGTACGAAGACCAGGCGCTGAGAGGTGCCACGTCGGCAGCCGACAAGAAGAAGGACGACGACGTAGTGATGACGTGGCTGGACTTGCAGGAGGCAGGGTCGACGATATACGTTAGCCTGGGAAGTTTGGCTAGGCTGACGCCACGTCAGATGACGGAACTGGCTGTAGGTTTGGAGTCGTCAAAACGGCCGTTTATTTGGGTGTTGGGGAAGAAAGACATGCATCTTGATGCGTTTGAGGATTGGAATGTGAGCACCGGGTTCGAGGAAAGGAACAAAGGGAGAGGGGTGTTGGTTCGGGAGTGGGCCCCGCAGGTGCTCATCCTGGCCCACCCCTCGGTCGGAGGATTCTTGACACACTGCGGGTGGAATTCAACACTGGAAGCCATCTCTTTCGGGGTGCCAATGTTGACGTGGCCGCTGTTTGCGGAACAGTTTTTGAACGAGAAGCTGGTGGTGGAAGTGCTCGGAATTGGGGTGAGCCTAGGGTTGAAGGTGTCAGTTAACTGGGATGGGAGTGAAGATAAGGAGAACATAGTAGTGGTGAAGAATGAGGAGATCAAGGAAGGCATAGATAAGCTAATGGATAAAGAAGCAGGGAAAGAGAGGAGGAGGAAAGTGAAAGAGTTAGGAGAAAAGGCTAAGAAGGCAGTCCAAAAAGGTGGTTCTTCTCAGTGCAACTTGATGGCTTTAATTCAAGCAGTTTCCACGTTTGGCGCTACAAAGATATGAGACTCATCATCGTTATATATCATTGTGCGACAAATTTAAGGGGTCAGATTCATGCTTCAGAATTCTCAATTTCATCAATAAATTAAATATTCTCCATGCCCTGCAGCGCAGCGGCATGTTATCCATCAATATGAATGTTTTATTTGCTTTAGTTTATTACTCCGTATATTGTTGAGACTTTTGCTTTTAGTGCATGCAAACCTAATATTTCACAATACACGAATACTAATTTTAATAATCACGGAGTATATTATTTATAAAATTTATAGTGTAAAATAAATAAATAAATTATAAACATATTATTATATAATATTTTAATAATCTCTTTTTATAATAAAGCAGGTATAGTGTGTACCTTGTATCAAATAAAAAGACTATGGCCTTGTTTGGTAAAAAAATTGGCCTATAGGTCAATTTTGGCTTATTTGGCCACTATTAATTGTTTGATTTAGTTAAAATATCAATATAAATGTTTGGTTAATTAGCTTTTTGCAACTCCAAAAGGCTAAAATTAAAAAAGTTACTCCTAGCAACTTTTTCAATTAGCTTTTTGAGAAAAGAAATTATACCAAACAGTTATCAGCAAACAGCTAATTTACCAAACACTTTTCTACAATCAGCTAATATTATCAACTATTTATACCCTTTAATTAACACAATCAGCTAACAGCAAACAGCTATCAGCTAACAGCCATTTTACCAAACAGGGCCTATATATAAACACATCACATGTTGAATAAAAAAAATGCCACGATGACAAAGAATTGAAGACAACATTTGTGAGCACTTATAAGCAATGGACACCTTCTAATAATCTCTTCTTATAATAAAGCATGTATAGTACATTGTATCAAATAAAAAGACTACAAACACACCATGTGTTAGAATTAAAAAAAAAAAAAAAAAAAAAAAAAAAAAAAAAAAAAAACACGATGAGAGGGATTGAACTCAATTTTTGATAACAAGGCATTTGGTTGTAAGAAATAAATTAGGGACAAAAGAATTGTAATTCAGTGAAAAAGAATAAAGTGAGAAGAAAGTAAGAATTCAAATTATATTGTTTGGCTAGGAGAATAGAATTATTGGGAATGAGAATGAAAGAAGTGGTATAAAGACTAAAATGTAATAATAATCATGGACAAAAAAAGTCTGAAGTGGTATAAAAATTAAAATGTAATAATAATCATGGACAAAAAAAAAAAGTATTTTTCTTCCTTTTTCCCTTTTCTTTCTCATTGAATTGCAATTCATATTGAGGAGGTATGAATTACAAATTTGCAATTCAACAAAAATGAGAGAATTACAATTTGATAAAATTACAATTTCCTTCAACCAAATAGCAATACATTCCAAACAACCCGTAAAAGTTAGAGTGTGAAATGACTTTGGACGCCTAAAAGTTAGAGTTGCAAAAAAAAAAACCCTAAAAGTTAAGTGTTTGGTGCATGTAACAAGATACATATTGGATTTTAATAAATAAATAAAAAGAATAAAAATATAACTTTAGAGCAAAAAATGCACAGAAAACTTGAGACACAAGTGCTCAAATGTAAAGTTTGGTTTACTAACCCTGAACTTCCCTGGTTTTTTTATAAACCTAACTATTAGAGCTTGTAAAAAGCTTTCTACATCAGTACTTAAGTGTACTGTACGTAAAGATGAGGTCTCATATTCAGAGACCCCCATGTGAGATACTAGAAGCTCCACCGATCTAATTGGACCTTGGCTTCCGCCATGTCTTTCTGCGCTTTCTTCCTTCGATAAAAGATGGGACAGTCTCGACTGAGAAAAAAAAAAAAAAAAAAACGATTCTTTAGAGATAAGAGCTTGCAACTACTCTGGCAATAATAATACTCTTTTACACAATATAAAGTATAAAGTATATCAAACCTGGTGCACAGCACGTCCTGATGAAGCGAGCCTTGACACTCTTGGCACTGTGTCCACAACCTCCCAAACAGCTTCTCTAGTTCAGCCACTGTAATTCATTCAATTGACACCCACTATTAAACAATTATAACAGCTTTTCTCCCCATTTCACTGTTCAAACATAGGTTTAAATTGGGTATGCATAGAGAGTAGCAATTCTTCCCCCTACCATTTGCAACTGATCTACAATAAAGTTCAGCTTCTCTTCCCTTGCAGTGCTTGCACAGAGTTCGATCTGATTCACTGGTTAAAACCAAAATAATGATTAATAAAGTCTTTTAATCTCTCTTTTACACAAGGAAAAAGATCTATACAATGGGAAAACACATGAATTCACCCAAAATTTTTAGCAATAAAGGATGCTTGCTGTGCAACAAATAAATCTTCCTTTGGAAGGGTGCAGTATGACAGTTGTGCACAAAAGCACAGAAGATTTCCCTTGTCAAGGTTACTTGAGTTATACCTGATTAGTGCTTTGCATCCAATGCAAGTTAATTGTTTTTTGGCAAATTTCATTATGCCACCGGTGGAAGGAGTTGAAATGGAGATCGATCTAGTATGGCTTCCATGCAGAAGCTCTTTACTGGCATTCTTCAATATGGGCTCAAATATCCTTAGAAGTGGCTGCAGAAAAGCCACAATCATCAATTACATATAAATGAGCATAAAGTAAAATTAGTTATGTGGCACACTTACCTTGCTAATCTGATTTTCAAGATAGTACTGTGGATCTATTGGAATGTTGTTTTCTAAGACATATATAGGATCCTCTGATTTTTCATAAGCCTGTACATCATGAATTAACCTTGATTATAAACAATGGGAGGGTGAATGTTAAACTCTAGTACTATATTACTAAAATTATTACCTTAGCACCTTTAGCACCCTTAACAATGACATAAGGTACTCTATCACCCATATTTGGAGCAGTAGCAGCATCTCGCTGTTAAACACAATACAATGCATCACCTTTATCAAATTCACACAGCAGGAGTAACAAAAGATACAAAAAGATGCCAAGAATCTTGAGTTGGTATGATAAATGGGCAAATGACTAACAAAGGAGTGATGTAGATGTAGACGAAAATTACCATTGCAGACTTAAGTTTAAACCACAATATAAAGGATTTTAAACCAAAAAATGTATAAATATTCATGTTTCAGGCAGAATTAGTTTCAGCAGTAGTCAAGAACAGTAGAATGTTGTTAGCATTTGGGTTAATCACAGAGTGAAATTTGGGGGACTATGGAAAGATCGAAACAACAAGATAGGGGCAATCTGCTATTTACACTCTGTGATTAACCCAAATGCTAAGGTGGCGAAATCAATGACATATTTAACCAAAAAGATCGAAACAACAAGATAGGGGCAATCTGCTATTTACATTTGAAATAATGATCGAGTAGAAGTACACCTAACCTTGCGCATCCGCTCTGCAAGTTCAACATGTGCTGCCTTTACTTCATAATCATCTCCTGTTTTTGTCAGGCCCTATGAAAAGTAAAATTTGCAATTAATGACACAATAAAACAATTCAGTAGCATCTATTATTAAAGGCATTTTGATGACCTTGTTTAATTCAAGAAAATTGCACTTACCTTTGTAATAACAAGAAGAGACAAATCCATGCGATTCATAAGAAGATCAGAAATAGTATTTTTAACATATTGAACAGCTCCAGGAACATCTCTATCGATCAGTATTTTGTGAAGGCACTCAGTTACAAGGTTCTTGACCAACAGACAATTATCCCTTCGCACTGTTTCAATTCCTGCACAACAAAGCAAAACAACGCATCTTTATCAAGGTAATACAATATGCCCATGGTAAAATAATGGTCACACGACAACGATTTGCTTTATTTTACTTACTGATTTTTTTGGGGGGTGGGGTGGGTGGGTGCAGATCACTTACCTTTAGCATCCATTTTGTCAAATTTGTCTGGATTAGTCCATAAAAGGCCAGCATATCTTTTCTTGCTAATCAGTAGATATGGATAATAAACCTTCTCAAATTCAAGTCTTATTGGCTACAAAGAGCAAATGTACCACTGTGAGACAAGGAAGAAGGAAATGCATAGAGAGAGATGGATATAGGAGAAGAAAGATAAAGCAATATAATACAACTCCAAAAAGAAGAAGCATCAAGAAAAGGTTAAGATCTTAGCAGCAAATACAAACAGGAAGTCTACAGAAAAAATGATTGAAACAGCAACACTACATTATTCGCCTTCGGAAATATGTTGAACAAGAATATACATAGACAAAGCTGAATTTGAAAGTATTACTTTAATTCATAACTAACCTTCTCTAAAACCAATTATACAGTACATCTTAAACTAGGCATTTTAAAAAACAATATCTAGTACATAATAGTTAGAGACTCCATCAAAGTTGATGAGAGAACGAACTTATGTCTAAGTTGATTCTATTATTAGTCATAATTCCCATAAATGGTAAAATCGGTCATTTTAATCCGTAAAGGAGCCAAGAAAGCCATCCTTCCCATAAGAGCCACAATCAGAGCATTGTCACTGATTAAATACACCACCAAACATATAGCACAATTTGCTCACTAACACAAAATCCACTTCCTCAAGAGCCACAGACTTAATAGAAAGCATATCTGGAGTGTTTAGGTAGGCCTTAATATCAAGCACCGTAGAAACCATCATTAATCTTCAATATCAAATAAGGACAAGAACACAGAAAATAGCAGTGGTCTATTCAGGTGCCAAAATCGACACCCTGAAGGATTCAAATTGAAAATAACTACAAGCGAAACTATGACACGGATGATATAACTATGATATGGGCAGAATACTAAAGAAAGCAAAGAGTGAGCACCAACTTTTATGAATGTTCCACTAATGAAATCAGCAGCTTCTCTACCCAAGTTCATGGCTTCTTCCACCGTAGATACACCAAATTGCACCATGACTGAATCCGTATCTCCGTATATAACCTGGTATAAAATAACTGCTTACTGAGACAATATTGTAAAGGGATATCTAAGTAAAACTTGCGTACTATTAATAAATTCATCTATCAAGTGTAATAGTAGTATTGTCAAATTAATTACTCCATCCTGTTTTTATTGGCAACTTTGATTGGACACACAACGTATGAAAATTTATGTCAAAGTATTAATGCATGGGATATTTCACTAGTACCCACGTTTGCATTTAGTGCACCAATCTCGTTCAATGTAATAGGGATTTTGATAGATTTTTTATTAAATTTCCTTTGAAAGATGATAGTAACCAATTATTTTGGGACATCCCAAAAAGGTAATGAGGCCAATACATATGGCGGGGTGGGGGTGGGGTGGGGGGTGGGGGAGGAGATAATACCTAAGCTGATCAATTTAAGTATAACATTAGTTGGATAATCTGTGGTTCAAAGAGGAACATAATAGGGTGCACACGTAAAATTGAATTTTCATCTTTCTGCATAATTTACACACATGCATAATGCTTTGTGTTTGCATATATGGTTTCCTACAGTATGCATAGCACAGACATTCAAATATGTCCAGCATGTATGATACATCTGAGGGGATAAATTTTACAAGACAGGATGAACTAAACAACATCCTAAAGTATCCAGTCGAATTGTTTCAAGTCTTATGAGGCCTATCCTCTGATGCAACAGAAAATTGATAAGCAAGGTTCAAATGCAATTCAGTGGACTGCTTCCAGTTACGGAGTATTATACTATTGAATATTGATAATACCTATAAAAAGTTTTGAAACCAGTAGGCTTGGCAGGATTAGGCATTGCCTTTGAATCAGATAAGATATTGATAATAATATACCTCAGCATTGTGTTGGTAGCCCCCAAGTACCTTAAACTTGTCTTCAACAAGTTTCTTAGTGTGTTCAATCATCTGCCGCCCTTTTGGAAAAAAATTGAAGATTTGTAAGATCAAGCAAACTAACAGAAAACATTTTTCAATTGTTTTATTGGAATATTGTGCAAATCCCAATGGAAAAGACTATTACAAATATAGTACCATAGCTTGTAACACTTGAAGATATTTCCAGACATGGTAATTGACCAACGGTAGCTCCCGTAAACCCATATACAGAATTTGCACTAATCTGAAACCAGAAGACATCAGATGGATCAAACTATGTGCCACTAGTTTGAATATCAGAAGTCAGATTAATAATTGATGAGCCAGGCAAAGGAAAATAAATAGTACTTGCTGATATAAATAACTAAAATTGACATGATTTAGTAGGTTTACCTTCAAAGCCAGTTGACGTCCATCTAAAACAGCTTTCTCAAGAGGATCCTTCGCTTCCTGAAATCAAACTATATTGGTTACCTTCATGGAGAAAGATGCGAGTTTGAACAGGCTAAAAGTCTTATTGCATCCAATGAACAATATAGTACCACTTTTTCCTTCTAAAAAAAACTATATATAAGTATATGAAAAGCAAATATGCATCATTATACATATTCTGTTGCTGTGCAAAAAGTAAACATGCCTGCCATAACAATAGAAGACAGCTCATTGTTTTTTAAGCTGTCTCCCTTTACCTATTTTCATAGCAAGTAGCAGAATCTACCATTTCTGATTGAACAAAACTCCAATGATTATTTCATTTACTCTGATTACACACTATTAACATTAGAAGATTCCAAAGCTGTAAATCCAATAACCCAGCATATGCGGAAATTTTGAGCCTCCATCAAAATTTAATTTTAGACCTGGTCCTATGTACATATGCTATTCAATGCTAAGCAGTGAAGTTCCATAAGAGGTTAAGAAGTAGCTGTTTGGACAGTAATGATGGAGTTAAGTTCAATTCCAAGGGCAATACAAAAAATAACAAAATTTGGATTTGCATAAAACCATACATGGAACTCCTGCAGACAAATAATACAGGGAGTAAAATAAGCCACAAAGATAGTTAACACCTTTAAATCCGCTTTGGCTCTTTTACGGGCTGCCAGTAGTTCTTCAAGAATTTCCGGGAGTATTCCCTGAATTAGAGAACTTAAGTAATTATGCTCAGATAATAGTAGCTTCCTTATGAATGGCAATAGAATTATAAACATAAAAAAAACAATGATTTTATTGAGACAGATACATCACAAATATAAGTCCTCGAGAACAAAATAAAAAGAAAATTTGGATTCAAAGTTAACCTTCTGTAAATTTGACTTGACAAATGTTTCACCAGATGGAGTCTTGTTTACACACTCCGGGGGGAGGTTGAGTTTGCGGACATCATCAGGAGTTACCTAGACAGAGATTATAGGGAAAAGGAAAATAATTAAGCTTCAAAACACCTGGAATCCTTCCATTGTACATTAATGCTTATAGCCCAACCATCATATAGAGCGATTTGCTAGGCACTGTTTAGATAAAAAGTCTGACCAACTTATTGTATTGTTGAAATTATTAAAGTAATGGCTGACTTAAAATCTTCAATCTTGTGAATAACATTTAATTTTACTATCACACAATAATTATTTTGGCATTCATAATGGCAAGGAACTATTTAGTTATTTTCAAATATGTTGTAAGTGACAATTGTAATTTATAAAATACAAAGCCATTTGAAATCCAATTGTTTCTTCATATAAAAATACGAATACCAGTTGTAAGTGACAATTGTATCGAGTGGTGGTGGAGGTGGTGGGGTGTAGGAAGCTAGGAGTGGAGGTACATAAGTAGGTGGGTGGTAAGGAAATATGCAGGTAGTAGTGGATGGAAGGAAGCAATGGTGGTAATGACGGTGGAGGTGGTGGGTGAGGGTGCGTAGATAGGGGGTTGAAAGTTCATAAGTAATGATAATGGTGATGATGATAAGTAAAATAATGTATGTTTTTGTATTTGGGAACTGATTTCAAATTCCTTTGTTGATTTTGGAAAGAAAACTCTGTTTTCATTTTTCTTGAAAACTATAGAATTTTTCCAAGTACTCAATAGACCCTAAATATTGGGTAAAGCAAGGAGGGGGGGGAACTACAGCCCAGAGAAAAATATTTTACCAGTGTGCAGTAACACAAATTATATGCCATCATGATTGATGGATATAGAGATGCAAAATCCAGAGTAGCAATGGGTTTCTCATAGAACCCAGCACGGGGCTCCAAAACCTGTGACATAAAGATAGAAATCACTGTTATAAATATTCACCAACATAAAAAGGTATACAATGTTAGAGGAACATTCTTTTTTAGTGGGGCTATGTTTCACATTCAAGAAGTCTAGTGATATGTGTATCTAAAGCTTTACACAACTAGATTAATGTTGAGGGTCAGGTTTGTGGATTAAACAAAATATATATAATTACCGTTGCACCCTCATATGTTCCTTGCTCAGATCCAGCTTGTTTGACATTTGGGATGACGAGATTTTTTTCTTTTGCCTTCCTCAAAAGTTGAGAAAGCACCTGAAAATAGTGGTTTACAATTCAAATCTCCAGCACAGCCACATCTTTGATCTTTCACCACAAAAGAATACTAGGAAAAGTGAGTTCATAAGAAAATAACCTTAATGCTCTGCCCCCGAGACAGGAGGAATGAAATAGGAACACCTGTGACTCTAGCCATTTCCACATAGTTGTAAATGAACATTAATTTATCCAAAAGCCGCTGAGGGAGATAAGCATCCTGCGAATGAATGAGGCATTGACAAACCATAGCTCTTGAAGTAAATGTTCATCAATATAATGCTCACTACCTTTAAAGTAAATGCCATCACAATTATCAATAATGTTCATTGAGGCTCACAAACTGCTGTGTAGGTATAGCAATTGTTTAAGGTTCTCTAGTTTCAAGATGAAGAATTGGAGCACAAGCATTTTTACTAGAGAATAATCCCAAATGACCAAACTTCTCAACAATTTATGTTCACAGGTATACTATTCAAGGCTTCAAGTACAAAGGAGATCAAAATGGAATTTTTTTTTTCATTAATCAGGAGGAAACAGATTTATGCAATCATTAGAGATGTTTTTATGAATAGATTCCCATAATTAGCCGGTAATATTGGACTTGAGTACAAGGTACATCATTGCACTACCATAAACCTATGTGGCACAACCTTTGATAACAAGGCTGCCAAGGCATAATGTATCTACTTTTTTACTAATAAAGTAGAATTACTTAGGAGAAAATTGATTTGTAATTTATTGCTATTAAGTCCAATTTAATTGTCTTTTATTGTAAACTGTTCATATTACTTACATTTATAATTTATTTTGTTTTTATGTCAGAGTATTTTTATAGTTATCTAGATGATCAAATATTATTTTTATTATTATTTACTTCGTATTATTTATTGATTTTATAATCTATATATTTGATTATTTGTAATTATTAACCTCTATGAATCATCTAGATATTATTTTCATACAACTAAAAATAACTAGATAATATTTACATAATAAGTTGATATGAAATTAGTTACTATTACATAACTAGATAACGATATCTCATTGTTATCATGTAGGAGTACTATTTATCTTCAATATTGTTTTTTTTTTTTTTTGTAATTATCCATATGTAATTATTAACATTTACTCATAATTAATTGATTTATAATTTATTATTAGATCCATTTCAATTGTCTTTATGTATTAATAATAATCTATATTATCTTATTAAATCAGTTCCCTAAATCATTAAGGATATTATATTATAATTATAATGGCTAAGTAGGTCTAACTGTTTATATTTGATTAATGAACTTCAATAAAATGTTCATATACTCAAAAATACATTTACTATTAGATCCATTTTATTTGTCTTTTACTATAAATTATTCACATTACTCACATTTATAATTTATTTTGTAATTATATAGATAATTAGATTTATTCGTTGATTATTCTTTATAATTATCAATTTCTAATTATTTGTAATTATTAACCTCTACAAAAATTAATCAGACTACGACATCAATTTAAAAAAAAAAAAAAATTGGAAACCTATTTGGGCAAAACTCTAGTTAATATTAAAAAGAAAGCTGACTTTGGAATGATTGGGCTTTCCCTAAATCAAATAGTTTGACCTGTTGATAAGTAAAACGCCTACAAGTCATTTTAAAGCCAGTATACACACACTGCATGTTGATAAGTAGATTAAGCTCATCAACATCTCAGGTCAAAGTAACTTAAAACTTCAAAAGGAAAACTAAACCTTACCCTGTATTATAATTATAATCTAAGATTGAGTCAGGGTCACTCAACTGGGCTATAATGCACATGGCCAAACTACACTAAAAGATTGAATCCAACCAATTAGCTAGTCTAACTCATGGCCTTATAAACCCATATGTTCTCTCTTATTTTATCAATGTGGGACTCTTAACACCCTGCAAAACTCATTAAAGAGTAAAAGTACAACTGAATTTACAGATCATACTTACCTTTAAACAATATACGGCAAGTCGCCTCCTTGTTTCTGAGTTACCATTTTGAAGATCAGATATGATAGAATGATGTACATCCTCTTTCTGCAAGCAAAATAATAGCTTTAGATCACAAAGGAAGCAAAGAGTAAAAAACAAATGAAAGAACAGGAAGAAGATTTTTGAGAGATGTCAGTGATAAATAAACCTAAGGGGTCTAAGAAAATTAAACTGAAACTGTTGCAAGCTAAGCAGTTGGAGCAGAAGTAGAAGTTCAACTGTGTCAATTTTTGAATTGTTAATGGCACAAGAGTAAACAGCAAGGGAGCAATATAAGGAAAATAGCCCACCCAAAACCAAAATATACAAATATAAAACCTCTAAAATATATCAAAAATATATAAAGCGAAGAACAGGCAAATTGGACGAAAGTGAAGCAAAATTCATGTCAGATAGTTTTATTATTGTTGTCCCAATTATGGTCAGAATGGTAGTTACTTTCTAGAACTCTCGATCAAATCCACATCCAAAATTGTGAAAAGATAAAAAGGCAAAAAGCACAAGCCTTGCCTGTTCATTAAGAAAATGTGCTGAGACAGAATTAAGTGAATAAGAGCTCAATTTATAATCCCTCTGTACAACCTGCAAGGGAAGCAAAATATATCAGTCAGATATATATGCTATTATAAACCAGGGAAAACTATGAATCAGAAACTCTTCCAATGAATTTTTGTGTGTAAACCTGAAGTAAATCAAATTGAACCCTCCCTTCCAAAGTAATTTCTTTACTTTCCCTTGTTCCAAGTTGCCTGAAATAGTATGCTCATAATTAGTCTAGTTAGCAAGCTTCACAGTCAAAATCTCTGAGAAAAATACATGACACCATATTCATCAGCTTAAACAAAATACGGAGTATCAAAAATATCCATGCAGGAATACCATTTGGGATTTACAAACTGAGGAGGTGTTAAGGTTACATGTTGCATTCAGAGCATTTCAAGAACAGAAATAATAACAAACAGACCTCTACATTCACAAGGCCATATGGATGTAAAAATGTCATAAATTCATAAAAATAGTGATTTAGAAATGGTAACAAAAAGACCTCTACCATTCACAAGGTCATATAGATGTAAGAATGTCATAAGACTGATTAATAAAAATAATGGTCTAAATATGGGATTATATGTGGGTCTTGCTGTATAGAGGTACCACTGAATTATGTATCTCCAACTCATCTAAAAAGCTTGAAATGTCACATAACACCAGGGAATTTTTACTGTCTTTATATATGATAGACCAAGCCTATTATGCCCCTCCAGTAGTTGCACAGGATTGATCTCAGTGAATCACAATTACATGCAAGTAATGGCCCTGTAGGTTTAAAGAAGGCGAGCCACTTATAACAAGATATATAATTATATATGAGTAAATATAGAATCCCAGGATCAATATCTAATTGGAGATTGTAGTAACTCATTTTAATTTCAGTATGAAAATATATTGGGCGGTGTGGGATCAAGATGCTAGATGTCAACGAGGAAATAACCATAACAGCACAAAATATCAGAGAAGTTAAATAAAGTGGGGCATTGCAAAGGAAATTTGTGAACAGTGAACAATCAGCATGAAAATATAATGGGACCTTGAAGAAAATGTTGTTTCTTTCACACGGACCCTGCTGTTTCGTACTCGTCCAAGAATAGGAAACTCTACCATCCCTAAGGCCTCAGCTCTCTACAACCCAGATAATGCATCTCAGTAGATCAATAAAAAAAATATATAAAATATAATTTAAAAAAACACATTGAAATTAATGGAAACATTCACAAAAGGTGGAAAATATCCACTAACCCGAATGAGATATGGCAAATCAAAGTTGCAGATGTTATACCCAATTAATATATCAGGGTCAACTTCCCGTACAAAGTCCTACAGTTCAGGCAAATTTTGAGTCAAAAACAAAAATAAAAGAGACAAAAACAGTAGACAAATAAGCATTCCTTGTTAGCAATGTTTGTGAATACTTATCACCAAAAATTTTAAAAAAAAAAAAAAAAAAAAAAAAAAAAAAAAAAAAAAAAAAAAAAAACAGTTCAATGTTTTAACTTTTAAGCCACAGCATTTAATAATTCCTTATAACTGGAACAAATTTGTGAAATAATCAAGAGAGACACATTAACACATCACAGGGCTGATGCACAGGCAGGTAAAAATTAGATCAGATTTTCCAACTGCTTGAGTTTAATTGGAAAGCACAGAAAAAGCAAAATCCATTGCTTCTGCTCTGCTCTTCACCGAACAGACAATGAAAATAAATTATTATGAAACAGCCCACTGGGAAGAATCATCTCTATCCAACTAATTTAGTTGTAAAGTTTCTCCCATCTAGGGCAAGAAGCACTAAGTTGAGAAACTAACCCTCCAAGCTAGTAAAACCTCTCGTTCAGTTTCAAAGGACATGACATCAACCCCAACTATTGGTGAGCAAGACTTAAGGGTCATAACATTACGCACAAACGGCTGATCCTGTCCCTGCAAGGTAACTAGGTTCGCTACCTAGATCAAAATGAGAATTTGTGTCAGTAAAAAGAAGCTCAATACTAGCAGTGTATGACACACAACAATTTTCAATGGAACAGGTTGAGGTCTAACCTGGATAACAGGATCATGGGTAGGTTCAGGAAAGTGGCCTTTACGCCCAGCACATTCAATGTCAAAACTTAATATACGAAAAGGAGCCATCTTTGAGAATTCTCCTTCAGGCTTATGGCTTATCAAGTCAGAATAGCTAAAGAACAATCATAAAGGAAAACAAATTAAAAACATGACCAAATGTCAACAAAAGAAAGCAGGAACATATTTGGATTTTATGGAGGCTCATGCATGAGGATACAGGCAATCAAACTCCAGTTGGGAATAAGAGATATTCTTTGATGATTTCTTGTATTTTCCAGCTGGAACTTCAATCCAATTTCCACCAACAACGCCGCAATCAATCATAAAGCGAAGAGCGAAGAGAACATTACTTTCATATGTCATGAAACTCTTCATACCAAGTCCATCAATTTGAATACCCCTATCAAGTATACCTGCCAATTTTTATGTAGACAACTAAAATTAATATATATTTTATATTTATATATTGTGGAAAATAAAGGGGGAAAACCTGATAATCAGTATAAATTGCAACACAAGTTTAGTGAACCCAATGATGTGTGTAAACAATTATCCAACTTAATTGAACCCACGTCTTTTAATTATGGCTACACCCTATAAGGCTATAAATAACAAAGTATCTGACCAATGTAACACATATGAGAACGATTTGGAAATCTCTTATGAAGAATTTGCACTAGTCGCATAACATTTGAGCTACTATATATTTTTAGTAATGAGCTCCCTTGTCATTGAATCCTTGAGCCAACCAACCAACCTATGGAATACTATTCCTTCTATTTTATCTATATATTAACCAAACAATGGAATAGCAATTATTTTCCTTTCTTTATCTATTCCATCCTTTATGGAACCATATTCCTATTCCTCTGTTTTCATTCCATGAACCAAATGCGCCATGAATGATCAACGACAACTATTTCAATAACTTGCTATTTTCACTTGTGGCAGAGAGGCACATCATCCCACGGAATTCTTGTCTCCATCATGATCATTTTCTCTGCTGCCACAGTGCAAAAGTCAGCTCTCCCCCTCTTAGAGATTCATATTACTAAGAGTTTAAGAAAAGTAAAAAATTAAATAAAAGGACTTATGCCATGGTTGTACTAGGGTCACTTAAAATGAATGAGTGTTGAGAACAACTTTAATGGATAACCATTTGGACTCTGAAAGTACAAGTTAAGAAGCTATTCATTTACCATAGGGATGTTTAAGTTCCAGAAAAAAACAAGAGGTTTACAGTAGAGACAAATAAATAGGAAAGTCCATAAAATCATGCATACCACGGCATGTGGTAACCATTGTTGGCAATGCCACTACAATTTTAAGAAAAGGTTGAGAACCCTGCTGCTGGTAATACATAATACTTCTCTTCTGGACCATTTCAATGCGACGGACAAACTTAGGAACCCTATTGTTCCTATTTGCCTCTCTCATTCTATCCTGCAGTAATAGCATAAAGATATAACCAAATATTAAAGCCAAGCGAGGAAAAAATTATTGGAAGAAGGTATAACCACGTAAATATGCATGACAAAAAAAAAATATGCGCATACCTCAAGAATTTGATGAAAACGAGATATGTCATCAGGACCCATTCCTGCAGGGCAACTGATATAGAAATATGGTTCAAATCCATGTACATGACAACAAACACTGTGACCTGACCAACACCAACAAGAGATATTCCTTAGAAGTTAGAAAGATAGAAAGGACATAGAGAGTCATGCACTAGATGCAGAAAATCTTCCGTTCTATTCAGGTTCCTTTTAGACTCAATTACCAGACAACCCCATGGACATCTAGAGATTCATAATCTAAGATTTAGATCTCTTTTTGTATTTTTTTTTTTTTTAGAAAAAATATAAATACTCAATCCTATTAAGAAAACATATGCAACTTATAAGATGACGCAAAATATTAGAAATTTAGAAATAACTATTTTCAAATATGTAGACTCTCTAAACACAAATATCTTTTGAAGATTATTACAATTACTTTTAGAAATGCATCTTATATTGATGAATTAGTGTTCTCAGCCAGATGGATAAAGTCTTAACACAGAGTACAGAAGTTTCTATCTTTCTCCATGAATGAATACAAAATTATTACATTACCAAATTACAACCCAAACAACAAAATTAGCTGCATTTTGTTTCATTACTTATGAGTATGCATTTTATGAGTGTAAGCAACACAGAGAGTTGCACAAACCTTCCTTAGTAACTCCAAATATTCTTATAATGGCAGCAGGACCAGAAGAATTAGGCAGCAATTCTTTATGGCTCTCCCCAATCACGTAGTCAATTTCCAATTGCTGAAATACTATGAAAGACACAAATCACATAAATTTCAGAAAACTGGCCATTTTAAAACACAATACAATGTGCAAATTTATTACAATAATTCACTCACCAAACACCACACATTAAATGGATAATTTTATGAAAAAAAAAATAGTTTTAAAAATCTTATTTTGACATGAAAACTGAAATTAACGAATTGATAATTTTCAGAGCTTTCGAAACCCTAGGAATCAATGGTATAAACCATAAAAGCAATGAATTGTAACAAAAATTGCTCAAACATGGAAAGGCTCGACGCATTTCAAATAGAAGAAAGGAACCAAGCAACGAAACTATAACACTCCTGAAGTTGACTTAATTTTCACTCACCTACGCTTTGCGACTGTGAGAGGTAAGCTTGCGAAAGCTGAGGCCGCTTCCATTTGCGGAGACGCTCGGCGAGGGCGGATTGCTCCTCGAGCTCGCGAAGGACCTGGGAGTCCTCATCGTACTGAAGCAATGTTTCTTCGAGGAAGATGTCTTCATCGACGTCCTCCTCTTCCACGGCAGCCTGTTGTTTCTTCTGCAGCTGCGGCGACGGTGCCGGCGCCGACTGTTGTCGCTTCCGAGGATTGCCGCTGCTCATAGTGGACCTGAGAATTCAAGAGGAGTGGGTTGGGGAGAAAGGAGGGAAAGGGTTAACGAGTTTCCCGCCAGTTCTGTGGGAAACTGTCAAACTGGGTCATGGGAGTATTTATAGGGTTAAAATACGATGCCCTTCCTTTCTTTTCTTTTTTCTTTAATTTAAAAAAAAAAAAAAAATCCATAGCCACCATTGACTATTGAGTGATGCTCTTTTTTGAATTAATGCTATACAGAGTTTTTTTACGTTTAGTCTTGATTCTTCTAACTTTGAACTTGAACTTTCAAATTGATTTTATCTTTTGACTTTTGAATTATTACCACTTATTACATGATCTTTCAACTTTTGAAATTTAATCCACAGTCATCATTCTAGAAGGATCATAAGTAGTTAAAATTTGATAATTAAAAAATCAAAAGTGGTTAATTTGGACCATGGATGGTAAATTTGAAAGTCGAAAGACCACAGTAGTCAATTTAAAAATTTAGAACCAAACATAACAAAAACACTATACTCAGAACCCTATGGTTTTCCAGCATCATTTCCACTAGTTTTGGTCGGTTTTGGTCGCATCTACGAAAAGGCGACCAATTTTGGTCAACCAGTTCTTGTCACTTCTCTGGATAAGGCAACCAGTTTTGGTCGCCTTTCTCCAATTGTCACTTCTTCGGATAAGGCAACCAATTTTGGTCGCCTTTCTCCAAAGAGGCCACCAAAAATGGTCACGGGAGAAAGCAACTTGCACCAATCGATTTTTGGTCAAAAATGGTGTCAAAATTAGTAGCCTTCTATCACAGGTCACTAAACGATTTTTGAAATTAATTGCATCAAAATAAAATGTTAATGTGTTTAATTACAACTTTAACAGTTAGTAAAGTTCAATGGCCTATTTGACCATTTTTCCTAAAATAAATAAACAAATAAAAAGAGAAAAGAATATGAAGAAACTATCATAAACAGAAGAAAGAAACGTCCAAAAAATAAACATATCAATTGGATTTCAAGAATGTATGGATAAACTCATCAAAGATCAACCCTTCAAACAGACCAAAAACTCAACTTATAGCTACAAGGGATTTTGGTTTACTCATACAAAATTTTAAGAAAAAGTGAATTTTGTTTTGGTCATAAAGGTGGGCCTTGTATAGAGTTACTCTCCTAACCAGTCTCATTAGCACCCTCTGGCTGACTACCACCTTCCTCAGCTGTCTCAATAAAACCCCCTTGTTCTTCTGCAGGGTCCGATGTCTCCGGCTTTGCAGGCCCAGGACCAGCAGACACCTTCACCATTGAGGGGCGCAAGAGTCTTTCTCCAAGTTGGAAACCCTTGCGAAATTCTTGTATAATGACGCCTTCATCGAATTCCACTGAATCTTCACGCATTATAGCTTCATGGAGCTGGCAATTAAAAGAATCATACATATATCAGAGAAGACACTAGCATCAACAAATCCTATTTTCAGGTATGGAATAGTATTTTGATGCTTTGACAAGAATTACAGCAACCCACATTGTTATATTAGCATAGAAATCTTAAACAGTACAAGATGCAAATATTTGTCATTTGATAGGTGGTTTCAATGTGCGCATTACTATTTACTTCTTCACATCAGAAAATAAACTAATCATCTTTGGAGTTCAGAGTGCATTTTATCATCTGTCTGAGTTAGTTCAAATAATTTAAGATTTAATTTTAGAATAAAATCATATTCATATATCTTCACAAAACCAGAACATGTTGTATATGGCTTTTTGAAATATGCAAATCAGAAGTTTCCCTGCATTGAGTGAATTGTATCACTAAAGAATGAATAGAATTGGGAAACAAAACAGATTGTAGATTTTCCCAACATAACATAACGCAATGCAAAACTAATATATTCCAATATAACTCCCACCATAATGTATTCACATGAAAATGATAAGTTATGCAGAGAGGGCAGCTTTATAATTCGAATGGGGAAAAACACAGCTCAACGTGAAATATAATTTAAATACATATATACATATATGTGTCTTGAATTAGGATAAACTTACCAATGGATCAAATGGCTTCCCAACGGTCTCCACAGGTGTAACACCAAGAGATCCTAGAATTTCCACAAACTGTTTAGAGATGCTCTGGTAGCTGTTATTGATTTTCTCCTCTCCCTCACTTTCCACCTTGATTTGGGTTTTCGCTCTATCAAAGTTATCCAACACCGGTAAAAGTTTCTCAACAACTTCCCCTTGCGCATTTGTAAACGAAGAAAGTCGTTCCCTCTCAGTTCTCTTCCGGAAATTGTCAAAATCAGCACTAATTCTAAGAACTCGGTCCTTCTCATTTGAGAGCTCTTCGGTTAATAACAGCAGTTTTCTCTCAAGATTGACTTTCTCATCCTCTATAGACTTGAGAAAAGCTTCTAATTCTGCAATTTTAGACTCGTCATTAGTATCCAACGCATCTCTATATGACTTCAAAGCCATCATAACAATTGAAGCAGTTTCCTCTGAAGTTGTAGTATCAGCCTCATTTGAAATATCATCACTTCCCGGAGCAACATCTTGATTGTCCTGTCCAATTATGTTGACAAACAGTATAGTCAATATTGGAGTATCAAGATAAAGAAGTACTCAATAAGGAAACAATACATGACAGGCAAACTTATTAATCTTCCATTTAACCATTCCCCATTTTAAAACTAAAAATACCAGCCACATCTAAGATACCACACTGGCCTGTTTTCTTCATTATCCATGTAATACTTCTGGTATATGATAAAAACTCGATTTTTCACAATCTCAAGCATAATGCTGAACCAATAACTCTGTGCTTACTAGTACGCTATCCGTATATCTTGTACTAATTCAACAAGGAAAAACAAAACAAAAACAAAGCTTGGCAGATTGTTCACATTATACAAATGGAGTTAATTAAGATTTTTGGCAATTTTTTCCAAGTGGGAGGAGATATATATTACCTCTACCTCAGAGTCTTGAACTTGGTCCTGTTCCTGAGGTTCAGTCTGAGCAGTCTCCGCAACGTCTCCATCAGAAGCAAAGAGCGAGAATTTCCCCGATGAGCGGCTCACGGGCAGTCGAATTGCGGGTCCAGAAGAGTGGTGGTGGACGCGACAGCGTGCAGGGAGGCGTGACGAAGCCCGTCTCCGTCTGGGAAAGGAAACGACGCAGGAGAAATTATGGCGTGAGGTGGAAGAGTTAGCGGTGGCGGTGAGGGAAGCTGACGGCGGCGCCCTCAAGGCGGAGGCCGTCCTCAGGACAGTGGAGGCCATGGGATGAAGAGGGAGAGAGAGAGAGAGAGGATTGAAATGGACGGAAAGCAGTTGGACAGGTGAGTATGGTGGATTGGTGAGTGATTCGGGCTATTGAAATGGAGGGTTTTTGGAAATGAAACGAAGGGCCTAGATATGGCCCGTGGGAGTGTGGGACATTGGGACCCGACCCATCAAGGATTTCATATTTGACTATTTTTTCTTTTCTTAAAGCATGGTGAGGTTTTTGGACAATCGTTATGCTATGGACCCGTGTCCAGTATGTATTGTGGACACGATAATAGTGTCATTAGTGGCACCGTTATTTTCTAGTTTTTTTTTTTAATTTCAGATCGCTTCGTTATAGGAACATATGTTCATAATGTCAGAGCTCTGTGTTCATAATTCCATAACTGTACATTCATAATTCAGTAGCTGTACATTCATAATTCAATAACTGTAAATTCATAATTTTCAAAGCTCTATGTTCACAATTTTAAAGCTCTATGTTCATAATTTTATCACTATATGTTCATAATTGTAAGTTCATAATGTCAGAGCTCTGTGTTCATAATTACATAATTGTACATTCATACTTCTATAACTGTACATTCATAATTCCGTAACTGTACATTCATAATTCAATAACTATAAATTCATAATTTTCGAAGCTCTATGTTCATAATTTTATCACTATATGTTCATAATTATAAGTTCATAATGTCAAAACTCTGTGTTCATAATTCCATAATTCCATAACTGTGCATTCATAATTTCATAACTGTACATTCATAATTCCACAAACGAATAACGACGTTAACAGCGAGACAAAATCAATTTTTTTTTAACTGGAATGCCGCGTTTTCCCTAAAAACGACGTCGTTTTGGACTCGTGCCACAATGCATTGTGGACACGAGTCCACAGCATAATTTGCCGTTTTTGAAATAATTTTTTAGAAATTTTTGCAGGTGTAATTATGAAAGAAAAGATGAGAGTGAAAAGAAAAAAATAATTTTTTTCTTTTAAATGCTATTGGCTCTATTACATTGTAGTATCTGTTCATATACTATTACATTGTAATAACGCCTCCACTGAGACTTGAACTCACAATCTTCTAAATGAAAATCCAACTCGGGTACCATTAGACCACATAGTCTTGGTAGAAAAAAAAATTTAATATCTGAAAAGTAAAAAAAAATAATAATAAAAATTGAAGTAGTTTAACGTGTCTAACTGGGCGCAATGTGGCTCACGCTGCAATGATGCACCTATATTTTTTGTTTTAGTGGGGCTCACAATGTCGGTAAAAACCAAGGTCCTCTTGCAACACCTGCAAATTTTTTTATTTAAACCACAGCACCTCATATCTTTCTCCTCCACTTATACACTTTCACCTGCAAAAATTATGTAAAATTTTCATATTGGGAATGCCCTTAACTTCCGATTGTATTAACAACCTTATCAATTGGTCTAAACTGTTGTCTTAGATTACTTTCATTTTAAAATTTTGTTAAATTGGTTTCTTTGTGGAAAAATGTAATTAAATTATTATTTTATTGTCATGAACATGTGATCTAATGGTATAAGTGACTCTCTCAAATTAGAGGTTATGGTTATGGTTATGGTTTCAGCCCCAATAAATGCAATATTAACTCTTCGTGCATACGACGCCGTTTGGCAATTTTGGAGTGGTTATAGTTTGAGCCCCAATAAATGCAATATTAACTCTTTGTGCCTACGACGCCATTTGGCAATTTTGGAGTGATAGTGGAGCCCCAATAAATGCAATATTAACTCTTTGTGCCTACGACGCCATTTGGCAATTTTGGAGTGATAGTGTCGTTAGTAGCACC